ATTAGGGGGTACCTTATCTTGGGGTCCTTGTAATGAGGATCCTACCATTTAGGGTATGTACTATATTTGGGTCCCCCATTTTCCGAAACCCCCACATATTCCTCCAAACCGGGGGTCTGACTCTGAAGACCCCTGTAACCCTACTTGGAGGATCATGGGACTTAGTAAGTGGGGTTATAAGTACCCTAATTGGGGTTATGAGTAGGGTTCAGGGTTTAGGGTTTAGGTATAGTTACCTTAGTTATATCCCTAGTTACTGAGTCCCATGAGCCTTTAAGTATAGTCAGCCTCAGATCGAATGGATACCCAGCCACGAGGAGAAGTCTAAGTCGACAAAGCCGCCTATGTCCGGGCCCCCACAGCCGTGGCTTCGGGTTCGGTGGAGGATTTTCATAGGAGGCCAAAAGGGGTTTAGTAGGGAGTAGGGTTCCCATAATAGGGTTCATATTAAGGAATCCCTACCTCAAGAATCTTAAACCCCTCTTTTGGCCTCCCATCAGGTTTTGGATTTTGGAGGCTCTGGTTGAAGTGCCAGGCAAATGCTTGCACATGCTAGGAGATGGATTTAGGTTGAATGCCTGGGGGAGTTGTTGGGGTCTGCCACTACGTGACGACTGGACAAGAGACCCAACTGTTCTGCATTGAAACGAATTCGTCTTTCGATTCGCGAGAATCCGCAGCCGCTCGAAGAATGGACCTGATCATTGTTCTGAGGATCAACGATGACATGTCAATGTGAACCTTCAGTCGCCAACGCAAAAGAATTTCACAAATCTCAGCTCAGAGTAGTTCCGTTTATGGCAAGAATCCTGACATGGACCAACATCTAGAAGACCTCCCGCCACCGGCATCAAGACCGCAACAGAAACTCGAGTCCAGGTTCTCAGCCTCTGAGTTCGGGTGAATAGGGTTTCAGGGTCTTCTATACTACATTTTTAGTAAGGAGTCCCAAAAAGAGTATTGGAAATTATTTAGGCCCCTATATTATACCGTGCACCGGGTTCAAGGTATCGGGGTAAACGCTAAGTCTGCTAAGTGGAGTGCCAGATGTTCTGCCGCCCAGGCTTCGCAAGTCCCTGTCCTGGGGGCAAACAGAAGAGGCTGGCATCAATATCGGGGCCTCAATAATTACAATACGGTTTTGGGGTATATTATACTATAATTATAAGAAGGAGCTCCCAAAACCCTATTCTAATCATTAAGGCCGCCATTTTAGGGTTTCTCTGTAAGCTGATTGGCCTGCACAAGAGTTTTGGCAGGCTTGGCATCTGCATCGTGGCTAGTTACGGCTAGTTCGTTGCAAGTCGGATTATGGGCACCTATAGTTGGGTTTTGGAGTACAAGACTTTTCAGCATAGAAAGCCCTCCAAGCAGGTACCTGCGAACCCTCGGGTCTTGGCTTGAGCCGTGGAGGGTCTCAGTTACCGTTGGAAACCAGGAGTGCAGAAACCCTCGACCCTCAATTCTGGAACCTTTACAGCTCAAGACCCTGAAACCCAAAATCCAAAGCCTTGAACCCGAAAAGCTAGAAGTCTAAGCCGCTGAGCCCTCTGCGTGAAATTTGCCGCCTGTGGATGTCATTGAAGACAGGATCCACTGATGCTTCGGAGGAGCTCGGCATCTTTCATATCGAACCATCTATAGCTATATCTATACCTATACGTCAATCTCTACCTCGATCTCCATCTTCACCTCTATCTCCGTCTCTGTCTGAATCTCCATCTCTATCCCTATCCTTATTTTTACCCCTATCTCTATATCTATCTATCTCCATATACATATGCATATATATATATATATATATATATATATGAGTATGCATATGTTAAATACAAGGGGAGAGAGGAGCAAAAGACAGAGAGCGGCTGCTCGCTAGTAGCTGCAATTTTATCCCGTCCTCGTCCGCGTGGCCATCGGTCCCATTGAACCTGCAAGTTGCGTCGAACCCTAAACCCTAAACCCTGGCCTTATTGTCGTGTCCCCGCCATTAAACTGAACTTGTACACTATTGATCCTCCCTACAGCCACAATTCCAGCAAACTGCGACAGGTTGGTTGAGGGAAGTCGTACGGCCGGAGGCTCCTTCGGGAGGGCGCTGATGTTCGTTTGCTGGATGTCATGTCTTCAACACCCCGAGTTCGAAAGGGTTGCCGACACGAGGACCCTCCATTGGTCGTTGCCAAAAACATATGAATCGGGGTTGATGGGGTTCATCTGCTTTTGAGGATGAAAGCATACGTTTGGAGGGGCTGTGTTTCATATTCCAGAACCTTGTTCGGGCTTGTGTTGGGCTTGCTTTGCTTCTTGCAGTCCTTAGTGTCACAAGAAAACTCACAGTGCACAGGTCCCAGCTCTGAAGATAATATGTAGGCCGGTGTAAGCGGTCGAACGGCTTAATTTAGGGACCTCAATAATTACCTATACTATTTTGGGGGTTCCTTAATATGAGTAGAGAATCATGGGCCCCCAAAACCCTATGCTAATTGTTAAGGCGCCCATATTAACCCCCACGGCCCCCCAAGGCTTCACGGCGGGCATCTGTCGTTTTTTTGGGGCAACTCGGAAAAGGCGATGCCCTGACCGCTTCCTTCTGAAGACGGCGAGAGTTCTAGATCTCGTGTTGAGGCCGTCTGCAAAGCGATTCCTGAAGAGTTTGGAAACTTAAACTCAAACCTTAAACCCCATATCACCAAGCCGACAGACTACAACCAAGACCCACGACCCACCAGCGGGGCAACATGCCCTTCGGCGTGTTTGCTTTCCAGGCCAATCAGGATGCTACCGACTGTGAGCCACCAGAGTCGGTTCCACAATGGTACTTGCTTCTTGTTTTAAACTTCGCTGTAACGTAGAAGCTTGAACAATTAGCAATACTATTCCTCAGGGTTCCTGGTCAATCTACCCTCGCAACCCTATTCTAGTCATTGAGTCATTACAGTAAGGCTCCTGTCTTGCATCACCATGTCTGAACAAGAGAGCACTTTCGGAGCCTTGCCATCTATTCCTGAGCTGTAAAACCCCGACCCTAAACCCTAAGAATCTTACCCCACGGAAATCCCGTGGGACTTGGGAGATCTGCCAAGCAGCTCTTTCTCCTCTAATGCGTACAAGCCGTCTCTCCGGCATCTCTGTCATCTGACTACGAAGTCTATGGCCCTCGATTTCAGCGTTGGTCCGCTTGGGCTAGGTAGATTGATAGAGACTTGTCTTGTGGTGGCTTTGTCGCAGCACCGGTAGATGACAAAGATCCCGCAGGGTGCGGTTCACCTCCGTTTCATGTACAAAGTGATCGCAAGGGGACTGCATGTGTACATCAGTGTGCATGAGTCAGATCAGAGTCTCGTGACCCTACTGTTCTATACCTGTCAAGCGCTACGACGAGACAAGTTCTTTTTGTTTGATTTCATGTGCTAGTCATGTCTCTATTCATAATTGGAGTCGACGGCTGTTGGCAACGGACGAAGACACAAAAGGCTGAGGCATGTTATCACTATTGCTAGTATTATTACAATGACAATGTCTTTTTTTGCTGTGTTTCTTCTAATTATTGTTGTAATCCTCCTCTTCTACTCCACATCTGCTCCTTTGCAGCGATCGCCTGCGCGCTTCGCGCTGTCTGCAGCCAGAAGGCAGCCCCGTGCGAAAAAAGCGTTCGGTGTCCCAGACACCTGGCATTTGAGGGATCAGAGGACTTGGCAAGTAGTCTATGTACATAAAGGGAACTCCAGAAAGTTGGAATATGGTTTCATGGTAGGATACCCTATAATTTACCATAAAGGGCTTACGATAATGATATTCAAACTTTCTGGCCTCTACTGTAGGTGGTAGGCCCCCTGCTTGGGGGTCCTGCAACTGCTTATTATCCTACTTCCAACCTACTGATTTACAGTAAGTCGCTTGAACCTTCAAGCAGAGGTCGTTTTTAGGATTTTTGGGATGAGAAAGGGTAGCCGGCGGGTTATTGTCGTTCCGAGGTGTCGACTTGCAAGGGCAGCGAAACCCTAAACCCTAAACCCTTGCAGTACTCGCACTATTCCTCACTGTGCCACAGTCTGAGCAGAAGAGACCTTGGAGACAGGCTTGCGGTTCGGCACAGAAGCACAAGTAGCTAGTAATATTATGTAATATTATTCCCTGACAGCCCCTACTACTTTCATAGTACCTCCAATAAATCCCTTGTCTAATATTTAAAGATCCCATGTTAGAGATTCGAGTTCACGCTTCGGGGTTCGGGGGTTACGCCGTGTCTCGACTCGAGTACTAGAGAAGGTTAAGGGAGACGCAGTGCTGCTGTCATGACGCCGCGACCACCACCTCTAGAACTGTTACGCAGACTACGGTGGAGATGCCTCAGGAAATAGAAGCCACAAACTCAACTGCAAGTGGCCCAGGGTTCCAGCAACCCTGTCACCCTACAAGGCATGGTGGATTTAGGTCTTGGTGACGGGTTTGGGGTTCCGTTAAGCTGTATAGAAGGTGAGCAGGTGAGGCAAAGCGCAGCTTTTTACAGTCAGCACTGCTATGTGACGGTCCCTACTTTTAATTCTTGGATCGCCGTGCTGGATTCCAATGGACATGTGGGTGCCGTTCTAGTTTGCAGCAGGGCTGTTTCGGGAAACCCTGGGCCTATATCCCCAAAATAGTAGGATTCATATAAAGAGCCCCAATAAAGGCCCAAGGTTTCTTAATCAGGTTCCTACATTGCCAGATAAGGACCCGATTTTTTGCCGAAGCCCTAAACCCTAAGCCTTAAACCCTAAACCCTAAACCCAAAACCCGAAACCCTAAACCCCTAAACCGTCCCGAAACCTGTGGCTGGTCAGACTGCCACTTTCGGCCCGCAGCGGAGATCGGCTCTGCCAGTAAATGTCCTCCACTACATGGGAGCTTACATGTACGGTTTAGGGAGTTTAGGGCCCAAGCTTGAGGTGTTTAGTGTTTACGGTTTCAGCTAGTGGTGCCTCTGAGGGAATCTTCACAGGTTGACAGATCCCACAAGGATGCCGAAAGCAGAGGGCCAGGGCCCGCCGCGGAAGTATGACAACCTCATGTGGCCGCTTGACAAGCCAATAGTTATATACATACATGTGTGTATATATATATACATATATATATATATGCATATATGCGTATATGTATGTATGTATATGTATATGTGTATATATACAAAAACCTGTTAGCCATAACGAGAACACCTACAAGACTAGTAGGGACAACTACATCGGGCAGAGTTTCGACAACTGTGCTCACAACCGCCGCCGCACCCACGCGACGACGGCGACTACTGCTCGTTCTGCTACTCCTACCCCCCGTAAACCCTAATAAACAAAAACCCCTAAACCCCTAAACCCTAATTTTAAAAGAGCCCTTAATAAAGAAATATCCTAATTTTACTGCTCCTGCTGCTGCTCCTGCGCCTGCAACACCCAGGCTCGAGGAGCGCTTCGGGGATGCGGTCCACAGCGACACCGCCCCTTGAACCCCACACATTTTTCCTTTTTCCGTTGGTGAAAGGGGGCTTTCTTGGGGTTCAGAATAAGAGGAACCCCCCCACTTTTTTTTCCTTTGTGAACAGGGGGCTTGGTTTAGGGTTTAGGGGTTACGGGTTAGGATTTTCGTTGGTGAAAGGGTGTGGTTTTGAGGCTTTCTTGGGGTTCAGATGATTTCTTAGAGATTTGGGGCTTGGAGAGTGCAGGACAGACTCTCGAGGGTGGAGCCTTCCGAGTGTAGCTGCACCTCAGCACCCCGCAGCTTCAAAGCTCCAGCCCATGGCCCCAACCACGCACATTCCTCACCCTCACTCAGCCGTGTATTGTCCTTCAATGTTTTAGCCGTGTATTGTCCTTCAGTGTCTTGTTTGCGGTCTATGGTTACAGTGAGTGGAACTAAACCCCACCCTCAATCTCTGAACCGCCGAACACCAAGACCAGCCGTAAAAAATTGCTTTGGGCTGTTTTGCTTCGAAGAGTCCCCAGAGAGCCCAATACCCCTTAATTAAGGAATATAGCTTAAATCAGAATATGAAGCCCTATATACTATTTAAGCCATATTCCTTAATTAAGGGGTATTGGGCTCTCTGGGTCCCGGGTTTCGCCTCTGTAGGGATTCGGCCCCGGGTTCCGACACCCAAAGCTTCCGAAGCTCGAAGACGAAGTAGAGCCCAGACCGCGCAGACCCTGCAATCACCCTAAACTCTTGATTTTTGGTGGAACTGCATAATAAGATGCAGGGCCATCCAAGCCTGCCTTCAAGACAAGGCTTCCTTCGACAGACTCTGCAGGAGGAAAAAGGTGCTTAAAAAAAAAAAACCCAAAGCGCCTTCCTAGGCCTTCTTTGAGGCTGCGTACAGCTGCATCAGGGAAAAAGGGGTTCAACAAAAACAACCTTTGGGTTTAGGGGCTTAGAGTTCACGGTTTAGAGGAAATCTCCAAAGGCCAGATGTCTGGGCCTTCAACCTTACATTCCATGTGAAAGTCATCCCAAGGAGGAAGACACCGAAGCGGGGGAAGAGGAGGATGAGGACTCCGGGAACCCTCTTATTACAGGGCATGAGTGCAGGAAGCGCTTGTCAGTCATAGGTTAGCAGGAGTACTATAGGGGTTTGGGCTGTGTGGGGCCTGCGGGTTTGGGGTTTTGTGCACTCCGAAGCCTTAAGCCCAGACAGGAAGTTGTGAAGTCCAACATCCAGAGTCACAGGCACCCCAAAACCCCAAGCATCCCTAAACTCAAGCCATGAAGCCGAGAGGAGGCAGCTATTCCCGTCACCGCGAGGCTGTGCCCGATTTTGGTGTAACACTAGTTCGTGTATGTATGCAATTAGGAAAAGTATCCGCCCACCTCCCAGTCTAGTTCCAAACAGGCTTTTGGGCGCAGAACGTCTCGTATCGTTCTGTAAAATGTACGGAAAGCAAAAAAACCCAACCCGAGGGAAGTTCGGGGTCGTTCACGGCTTCAGGTTCTAGTAGGGAGGAGGTACGGTTCAGGGGCTTAGTGTTTACGGGTGTTTAGTGTTTAATTAAGGGGGTTTTGGGGGTTGGGGAGTGTGATGGGCTTGTATGGGTCTCTGTAGGTCTGGGCTGAACTCTGAACCCAGCTTTCTGAACGCTGAGCAGGACATCGGGGTCTCCCAGAAGCAGGATCCTTCGATCTGTAAAAAAGAATCCCACGACTAAACCCTTTCGGACCTTTTGCAGAAAAGGGCCCATTGCACTTAAAAAACCCCAAACCCTAAACCCTCAAGTAGACTCGAGCATCATCAGCCCAAAGCCTAGCAATTGCGGGACTCTCAAACTCCCGCATCACCGAGCCTCAGCCCCAGCAAAACAGCCCTGTTCTTCTGAAATCCCTAACCCCTGTAGTAACCCTTGTAGCAACCCTTATAGTAACCCTTATAGCAACCCTTATAGTAACCCTTATAGTGACCCTTCTAGCAACCCTAAACCCTACTCAAGCAGTTCCGACCAGGGCTTTGCAGCATTCTGAGCCGGAGGCATGGCAGGCCGGGACAACGAAACACACCCAGGTTTCGATTTTGGGGTTCAGGTCGCGGCCGTTAGGCCGTGGCGGTAATGTGAAAAATTCAGTTGTAAGGGCGGTCGTAACTTCGATGATGATCGTAGTGGTCGTTTCGGCAGTTTCAGTCGTTGTTGTAGCCGTCGTCGTAGTAGTCAGCGTATTCAGTGTGCATGGTCGTATTGATAATAGCGTCCTTGTTAAGCATAGGCACACTTGTAATCATCGAAGACACAACCACAACAGTTTATCGTAACGGAAGCCGCAGTACTAACACTGGTATTCATAGTGTTAACCATCATGACGATGATGGTGGTGGCTGGTGGTAACATTAGTAACAGTACACATAGTCATAATAGTAATGATGATGCTGCTGGTTGTCGTCATGGTCGTCGTCGTTAATAGTAGTAGGAGGAGGGGAAGGAGTAGGAGCCGCAGTCAACTTTGCAGTTGCAGTACGACAGCATTGGGTTCTTTCTCTTCTGTGTCTTATTACCAGGACTGGTCGGATGAGGATGCTGGTGATGATGGCGAGGATGATGCAGCTGAGGTTTAGGATGACGGAGGAATTTGGGCGTGGTTGTGAGGAGAATCGGTGTGAGGGTGAGAACGATGTTGATGATGGTGAGAATGATGATGGAATATTTTGTTGTTGATGACAAGGATGCTGCTATGTTGTGGATAATGGCACTTGTACGGGACCAACACGGTCCGAGCACAGGCAACGATGATGATGAGGGGTGGTGATGATGGTGAAAGTTTGATGATGATCAAGACGCTGAGGGTGTGTGTAATGATGATGACGCTGATGATGATGATGGTGCCAATGATGCTGTTGTGCCTCCTGATGGTGACGCTGAGAGTGATGACGATGATGATAATCACAGCAACGATGGTCATGGCTGGTAGTGGTGATGATGATGATGTGATGAGTGGGAGGATGCCGCTGCTTCAGCTAACGAGGTGCCAATCACGCGTCGTGGTCTTGTTGTTATTTTGTTGTTGTTGTTGTTGTTGTTGATGATGTCGTTGTCATTGATTGAGATGTTGACGATGGCGGAATGAGGATGACAAGGGTGCCCATGGCGATGGTGATCTTGACGACAATGCTTTCGCGCGATGCTGCTGCTGATGGCTATGCTTATTCTGAGAGGTTCATTGATCACGGTTATTTGTGGTGATGATGGCTGATTGTGAGGTGTTTTGATGGTGAAACGGATGATGGCAATAATAAGGAAAGCTGTGATATTGATGATCATTGTGGTGATCGTAATGCTGATGTTATTGTTGATGATGATGACTCGCGCTGCTGCTGCAGCTGCTGCTGCTTACGACATTGGTGATGACTTTTGTGATGACGACGATGGCGAGTTTCGCATGGGGTGATGTCAGTGATGACGTCCTCCTCGTTCGCCGTCCTCCTCCACCTTCGCCGTTTCAAGCTGATGTGTGAGTTTCAGCATATAGTAACTCCAAATCTACATCGCAAAGCGGCAGTAAACTCCCCCCAAAGGGGCCAAGCGCAGGTCTTCTTGAACTATGCTGCTGCTACGTTTGGTCTTCTTTGCGACCGCGCGCGCCAGGCCGCCGCCCGAACGCTCCGAGAGTAGGGCCGGATCTGAAACTCCAGCCCCACAGTCCCTTCAATATGAAATTGTTGGGGGATTGGGGCTTGAACCTTCAGCTTGCAGCAGTTGGGGTCTCTCCACACTTCTAGACTCCAAATTCCTCCAGCGCTGTCTTCAATCCTTAAACCTCGATAACGCTAAATCCGCGAACCTCGCGACGGAGCTCTGGCTACTGACTGTAGAAATCCATGATGCGTCTGAGCATTACTTGGAGGCCAAAGGTGGTTGAGGTTTACATGGCCCGTGACGGCTAGTACTTAATCCGTGCTTCAGCCTAAACCCGGCTACATACCAGAAGTCTGGGATGTGCAACAGGCCCGAAGGGCAGACTCTCGAGTCATCCGCAAAGCATGAGAGAACAGTCGTCAAAAGCTGAAGCGACGATCTCCTGAGCACCAAACCCACCTAGAATCGTAGAGCGCGACCCTACAATCCCAACCCGCTTTGGGCCCTAAACCCGTAACCCTAACCCCTGAATCGTAGAGACCGACCTAACGCTGCAAAACCTCCTCTCCTTCTCCTGCAAGGAGTCCGGGATGGCGCTTTGTGCCAAAACAGCCAAGGCAAGCCCGAACTAATGCAGGAACCTGATTAAGAAACCTTGGGCCTTTATCAGGGTTCCTTATATGAATCCTTTTATTTTGGCTCACAGGCCCAGGGTTTCTTAATCAGGTTCCTACATTAGAGGGTTCGGTCTTTGGAAATGATTTCAGAGCTAGAGGTCGAGGGGCTCACGACTGGAGGAGTTGCGGACTAACTTCAGAGTCTAAAGCCCACTTGGAGGATCATGGGACGTAGTAAGTAAGGTTATAAGTACCCTAATTGGGGTTATAAGTATAGTCACCTTAATTATAACCCGAGTTACTAAGTCCCATGACCCTTCATAGTTCGCATCTCGAGTCAAAGGTCTAGACTTCAGGCATGGAAGGTAAGGGTTTGCAAGAGCTGGTTTTGGCGAACTTGGTCGTATACCGAGATGTATTAACTGACTGATGTCTGTGTATCGTCTCTACAAGAAAAAGTGTGTGTATGTACGTACGAGGGAAGTAGGTATGTATGTATGTATTTATGTATGTATCCAGCTATGTATGTATATCTGTCTATATGTCTCTGTATATGTATACACGCATACACATGTGCGTATGACGCTTCCCATACTTCTAGTTTTAGTTGGCAAGGTATTTCTGCATCGACTCTGTGGGCGATGCCCGACCCTCCACTCTTGTTTCTGGCATTCATATCGTGTACCAAAAAGGTTTGAGGGATCCGAAACAGCATCCGCGGGTGGTCCCTACATAAGTATACTGCAATATCCCAGGCAGCAATCGTGGAGATGCTCCCCCAAACCCGCAACCCTTAAACCTTAAACCCCTAAACCCTGAACCCTGAACCCTAAACCCTAAACCCTGAGACCTAAACCCTAAACCCTAAGCCCTAAACCCTTAAACCCCCAAACCCGCAAACCCGACACCGGTCACTGAGTTCTTCGGCGCACGGGTGGCCGCCTTGCTTATGTGTGCTGGGCAGGTCAATTTGCTGGGCGCTGCCTGCAAGGAGGCGATCGCTGAAGCCTAGGGAGGTTTTAAGGCTTGTGGCTTATTCAGATTGAGGGGTTCAGGGGTTCAGGGGCTTAGAGTTTAGGGTGTAGGGCTCTGGGTTTAAGATTAGGGTTCGCCCTCTCGTGCGGAACGGCGTGCGCTTCAGATCCTAGCAGCTAGAGCTAGTTTTCCGTGTGGCAAGACCAGCTACCGTGAAGAACACTCCATATGGGTAGTTCTCTAAACTAGGGTCCCTTTTTAGGTCCCCAACATAGTACGGCACCCTTATAAAAAGGACCCCGTAGGGACCTTAATTTAGAGAAAACTCCATATAGAAGCCCGCAAAATTGCCAACACCAACCCTTCGGGCTCCCCAACGAGGTCGGAACCTGATTAAGAAATCCTGGGCCCGAGGGTTCCTTTAAAGGGGTCTATAAGGGCTACTATAATTTATAAGGGATCAAAAAGGGTACTACAAAAATGTAGGAACCTGATTAAGAAACCCTGGGCCCGTAACCCTGCCCAAAGTACAAGGAATTATATAAGGAACCCTAATGAAGGCCCACGGTTTCTTAATCAGGTTCCTACGTTATACTTAATTATAGTATTATAGCAGAATCTACACCAAAACCCTATTCTAATTCTTAAGGCCCCTTTGTTTCTTTATGAACTACCACCCTAAACCCCAAAACCCTAAACCCCAAAACCCTACACCCCAAAACCCTAAACCCCAAAACCCTAAACCCCAAAACCCTACACCCCAAAACCCTACACCCCAAAACCCCTAAGCCCTAAGCCCTAAACCCTAAGCCGCTCCAGACCCCCGCAGGCCCTGGGATGCCCTCGGCCCCAAGCCGCAGATCCCAATACCGAGACCCTCAGGCCTACTTGGAGGATCATGGGACTTAGTAAGTAAGGTTATAAGTACCCTAATTGGAGTTATAAGTATAGTTACCCTAATTATAGCCCTAGTTACTAACTCCCATGACCCTTTAAGTAAACCCCTGCTCCTTATGCGACTGTTGCGAGGACAGTCCGAAGGCACAGAGATGCAGATATGGGCCCGAGTGCAAGAAGGCGCTGAATAACATCACCCAGGATTGGAAGAAGCGCTCGAAGCACGCCAGTGCCGACTCACAGGTGGCGAAAGAACAAGAAGAGTTCAATGTCATTCGGAAAGAAGCTGGCCCCAGACAGCTCTCTCTCATGTTGGCGTACAGACGCAAGAGTGATGCAAGTGTCAAACAGGGGAAACGCCGGAACAGGGGCCGAGGATCATGGGACTTAGTAACTTTAAGGGTTCTATAAGGGATCTGTAAGGGTTTAGGGTTTAGGGTTTACTTGGAGGTCATGGGACTTAGTAAGTAGGGTTAGAAGTACCTTAACTGGGGTTATTAGTAAGTCTAAGTATAGTTACCTTAGTTCAACCCCTAGTTTCTAAGTCCCATGACCCTCAAACCCTATATTTTAAAGCAGACATCTGAGCCTAGAGGGCTATCTTGGCGATTCCTCAGCACGGCGGACCACAGAACCACCAAAACGGAAACCCTATTGGGGTTTAGGGTTTAGGTTATACACCCGATTCCCTATCATTGAGCCCTAAACACTAAACCCTAAGCCCTAAGTTTCGTGGATATCATTGAGCCCGAAGCATTCAGCAACCTGAGAAATCCGAAAGCCCACACCCGGACAGAAGAAAGCCCGAAAAATCCTAAGCCCTGAACACCGCATATAAGCGCCGCAGGACTGCAAGGTGTCTTCAGTGCAGACCCATTTCGGAAAAGCACACACTTAGGATTGAGGCCTCGAAATGCAGAATCGGCCCCAGACCATAAACCCTAAATCCTGAACCCGGAACCCTAAACCCGCAACCGTCGAAGATCCTGGAATCTCCGCTCAGACAAGTTTGGATCGCCAGGTTTCTGAGTCCACCTCCTTGTCTCTGCAGCAGCTGCGCTGCAGTGGCGAGGCGGTTTCAGGGTTTGGGGGTTAGGGTTTGGGGGTTTGGGGGTTTAGGGTTTGGGGGTTTAGGGTTTGGGGGTTTGGGGTTTGAGGTTTGGGGTTTGGTGTTTAGGGTTAAAGGTTTGGGGTTTGGGGTGGTGTTTCGGGTGTTGCTTTGGGGTCCAGTGTACTCATTAGAGGACGCGAGCGCACCGACTTCGAGCTTTGCGGCGGAAGGGTGAGTGTGTGTGACGTTTGCACCATGTCGAGGTTAGGGTTTTAGGGTTTAGGGTTTAGGGTTTAGATAGTGCTTCGGCTTTCAAAGGCACTTGTAGACGACCGCCGATACGGTTTGGGAACAAAAGAACGATGAAAAGGGAGACTCTCTTCCAGCCCTGTCTTCTTTTCAGAATGTGTCCATATGTCTATCAACAGTAGATATGTATGAGCCTGACAAAAAATAGATCGACAAATACGTAGCCGTCCTAGGTAATCTAACACCAAACACAACCCTAAACCCTAAAGCCACGTGAATTCGGACTACTAACCAGCACTTGGAAAAGGGCCTGCAGAATAACCCTTAACCCTAAATCGCAAGCCCTAAACCCTAAACCCAAAGCCCTAAACCCTAAACCCTAAGCCCTAGACCCTAAACCTTGAACCCTAAACCCTGAACTCTAAACCCTGAACCCTAAGCCCTAAACCCTAAACCCTGAACCTTAAACCCTGAACTCTAAGCCCTAAAGCTTAAACCCAAACCCCTAAACCCTAAACCCAAAGCCTTAAACCCTAAACCCCGAACCCTAAGCCCTAAACCCTAAGCCCTACACCCTAAACCCTATGCCCGAAAGCTTAAACCCTAAAGCCTGAAGTCTGTGGGCTCCCAGGGGCCGTTGCCCCGCGCATCGCGGGCGGCTGGGGCGCTGCAGGAGGTCTGCGAGGTGAAGGCGCGGATCTTATGGGGTATACGCTTTAAGGGTTTTAAGGATGATATATATATATATATATACCATATATATAGAGGGTTTCAGGGGTTCAAGGATGATATAGGAGGGTATAGGATGGTAATTATAGGTTTCCAGGGGTTTAAGGATGATGAGGGGTTGGGGTGGGTATAGGATTTTATAGGTTTTCGAGGTCTTGGGGATGAGGGGAGGGTCAGGGTGGGTGTAGGATGGTATTGGTTTTCAGGGGTTTAAAGATGATGAGGGGTTAAAGGGAACTCCAGAAAGTTGGAATATGGTTTCATGGCAGGATACCCCATAATTTACCATAAAGGGTTTAGGATAGTCATATTCCAACTTTCTGGCTTTTACTGTAGGGCGGTCAGCCTTCAGGGTCTGAGGGTTTAGGGTTTGAGGCTTTGGGGTTGGAGAGGCCTTAGCCAGGAGGGTATGACTAGGGCTTGAAGATTTCTGCTTCGGTGTTTGGAGGCTAAATGGGTGAGTGATTGGGGGGTCAAGATTTACGGGCCTGCCCCAACGTCTCTGCTGGGTTTGCAGACCCGGCGCCTCGCTGGGGTTTGGAAGTTTAGAACCGGAGGTCGCTTTGAGCGGTACATAATATGGGCTCTACATAAAATTTAGGGGCCTTCATACTACGAGCACGGCTCTCTCTAAAAGCTGCTAGTACAAAGCGGACCGTAAGGCTACTAAGGGGCCTGAATGTTTAGAATAAGTTTTAGGGGCTTTGAGGTATGACCGTAACCCCTAAACCCCTCAACTCGGGTTGCTGGGCGTTTCTTTTTCCCATTTGCAATCTCGGGGGCTTGGAGCGATTCCATATCTCTAGACCTAAACCCCAAAACCCCCTATGAACGACGGTCCCCTTCTTCTCGCGTGGCAGGCCCTCATCGCATTGCAAGAGCTGGAGCTCGAGCTTCTGAGGCCTGCAAGGGTTTCTTTCTCTGAGGATTTCTTCAAAAGGTTGCTGAAGCGAAGGTTACTGTGGCTGCTTTAAGTTTTACTAGAAGGTTACTATGAGGGTTGCGAAAAGGGTTGCTCCTCTTTGGGTTGCTGTCAACACGGGGCACTATAGTAAGGGTTATAGTTATACTAAGGTAATACCATAGTAAGAGTTGTCATACTCAGGGTTGCTACAATAAGGGTTACGAGAATAAGGCTTGCGATAATGCGGTTACGATGAATATGGGTTCTAATACAGGGTTTACGGTTCGATCGCGGCTCAGGTTCTCGTTTCGACGTACGTTCTTCGTCCTAACGAGGAGCAGGTAGAGTCAGTACTATTTTTAGTATGGCTACTTAAAGGGTCATGGGACTTAGTAACTAGGGTAGCTAGGGTTACAACTTAAGGTAGCTATACTTCTAATTACTGATAACCCCATTAAGGTACTTATAACCTGACTCATTAAGTCCCATTATCTTCCAAGTATGGGGATGAAGGCTTACTGCCAAGACAGCTAGTAGCTGCAGGACACGTAGCGATGCCTGCGACGCGGCGACCTGCCTAGCCGACTAAACTGGAGTCTTGTTAAGGGGTTTAATTCATATTACCATAACAAAGAAACCATATCATTTCCTTGGGATCCCTACTATGGTAACTTACCAAGAACCCAGCTAAGCCGCAAACATAAAGCCCTGCTATCCCAAAGTCCACAACATCCAAACCTGTGGGGGTTCTAGAACCCAGGTACTGTTGATGATATAAATCCTGCATTACCCATAATAAGGAATATACCATAATTGCCTTAGTCTAGGGTCATTAAGGTAATGCAGGATTTTTATCATCAGCCGTATGAGCTGCCTGAAGGAAGTCCAAGGACACCGTGTTGGAGGCGCGCCGCACAGCAGAGCGAGTAGACTTCCCAGGATCGAGAAGGCACAGGAGTTTACGGCTCGGCTTGGGGATTCAGTTTGGGGATCAAGGCGGGAGTTTCGGGATTGGGGTGGAGAGTTTGGCCGGGAGTTTGGGGGTTATAGGTGTTGGCTTCGTTGGCGGCTTGTTTTGGCTATGGCAGGTTTGCTGCTAGGTCCCTGAAGCTGCACGCTCCAGACACACCGGAAGGCCCTGCAGCACGCAGCATCCTCGTCGGAGAAGGCGCTGAGCTCAGAACGTTTGGACACCAGGATGGGACGTCTGCTGAAGTCAGAGCATGTACAAGTCAGCAGATGACCGGGAGTTTGCAGTTACAGCTCTTTGCCGTAGGCGACTAGATAATTACCAATACTATTTTGTGGGGTTCCTTATTGTTATTGTAGTATACCATATCCCCAAGCCCTATTCCAATTCTTGAGGCCCCTACAGTGCGTGAGTCCAAGGGTAAAAGGAGGGACCCTTAACAAGGACCCCTAGGTAATATACCCTTAATATAGCTATTATATACCCATTATATAGCCCCATTATAGGGTAGGGGTCCCCATTGAGGGTCCCTCCTTTTCCCCTTTGAGTGAACCTCAACACTCGCTGATGAGGCCGGAGCCCTTCTTCTTGATCTGCGTCGGCTGCGGGAGGAGGGGAGTACTTGGACGATCATGGGACGTAGTAAGTAAGGTTATAAGTACCCCAATTGGGGTTATAAGTAGTTAGAAGTATAGTTGCCATATTTATAACCCTAGTTACTAAGTCCCATGATCCTCCAAGTATGAGCCCGAACCCCGAAATCTCCAGCCTAAGCCCACGGTCCGAGTCCCTGTAGTGCCCGAAACCTAAAGCTATGAAGACTTCAGCCCCATTCAGAAGCCCCCAGCCCGAAACCCTTTAAAGCCCTGAGGCCTTAACTCCAAAGCCCTTAACCGGAAATCCTATGCCCTGGCCCAAACTTCCTAAGCCCAGAGCCCTTAGGAAGGCCAGGATCGAAATTGAAAGCACAGGATGAGACTGTCTTAGTTCTGTTTTGGAGTTTAGGGTGTGGAGCTTTGGGGGTTTGAGTTTTGTCTTTCTTGTTTCGGCTTTCGAAGGCTCCACCCAGCTAGTCCACGGCCGTCGTTTAGAGACAGTTCCTTGCCCCCAGTTCCCCAGCCACTCCCACCCCTCCAGTGGCAGACGCTCAACCCTGAGCCCTAGATTCCAGACATGACTCAAGCTTTCAAGTCTATTCAGCGTTCCCTTCAACTCTCAAGCCCCGAGCCATGACGCTTGCCTCAAAACCTCGTTTTCGAAAGCCACCAAAACTCACGCACTTGCCCTACATCAAACTTTGTCTTGCTACAGCCGCAAACCCCTGACCTTTCGCGGCTCTTACCCTAACCCCCACGCTGATAGCAAGCTCTGCCCTAAACCCCACGAATCCCCCTACTTCCCTGAACCCTAAACACCTATCAGCTTCTCTACCCCAAACCATGACACGTAAGGGTTTTGGGCTTCCCTGACCTGAAGAGCCCAATACCACCTAGTTGCGATATCTTCAAGTGCGCTAGGAAGCTTTATCTATATGCTCTGCTATGATATTCTATGACAGTTATGTTCTATTATATTCTACTATGTTCGGTTCTGTGTTTTGGGAACAGGTGGCAACCAAGCGCCATCTTGCTCGCAAAGCGGCAAAGCAGGCGAAGGCCCAGGCCGCCTTTTGCAATTTGCAAGCCTTGTGAGCTTTTGCAAGGGTTCCTTTAATGTAAGGGTTCCTTAAAGGGGTCTATAAGGGTTCTATAGGATGGTTCTATGGTGTATAAAGAAACCCTATTCCAATTAAAGGGGGTCTATAAGAGATCTATAGAAGGGTTCTATGGTGTATATAGGGGCCTGGATAATTGGAATAGGGTTCCTTAAGGGGTGAGGGTTCAGGGTGGCTACGACCAAGTCTGATGTGCCTCTCAATCCAGTGCTGGGTTCTGTTCGAGAAGGATCGCATCAGGGCGGGGGTCGGGATACTCATTCCACCTCTGAGCATGATTGTGGTGATGATGAAAGTACGTCGCCCTAGTACTCGCCAGAAGCCACACGGAGTCAGCAACACAATGGCTGAGAAGTAAACTCGGTGGGCCACCAGCCCGAATTTGAGCCCAGGCACTCCTAATGCCGCTCGAAGCTGCCATCGAGAGGCCACGCGTGGGCTCAGGGAGGGTGAGGGACTGTTTGCAAGGAGTCAGCATCCGTGCCACGGCTTTTCCTGCCTTGTGGGTGCCAGCACAGGACAGCTCAGGGAAAGAGATGGGAGAAGGCAGAAACTGAGTTGAATGCACGCCATGCGCTGGCTTAGCAGTCTGAGAAAGCTGGCATGTGTGACAGAAAGTGCAAATGATACCGAAGAGCAGGAACCCTAAACCCTCGGCCCCTCAATCCAGAAGCCCAAAACCCTGAACCCTAAACCCTCCTGAAACCTTCAAGCCTTAAACAAGAAGTCCCAAAGAACCCCAAGCCGGAAACCCGAAACTCGACAGCCTCCAGTCCCCTTCACCCCTTTCCCCTGAAACCCCCTAAACCCCAAACCTTAAATCCTAAACCCCATACTGAACCCTAAACCCCAAACTTTAAACCCAGACTCCTAAACCCCTAAACCCCAATACTGAACTCGTCCCCCTCTCCCCGAACGAGTCGGGCCAGGTTGAAAGCTTGCCAGCAGCAGAAGTCCAGCCTCCTTCGGGTGGCCCGCGCCCGCATCTGCCGCGCTGTAGGCTGCCTTGGGGAGCTGGCGGTCTTGAGGTTTTTAGGGGCGGTCTTGAGGTTTTTAGGGCTTTAGGGCTTTGGGTTTAGGGTTTAGGGTATAGTAGGGTGATGGTTTTTGTTAGTCCCTTTTCTGCTCTTTCTGTTGCTATGATTATTATAGGTATTATTATTGTTATCATTTGTGTTATTCTTGTTTATCTTTTCTCCCTCAGCTGGGTCTGAAGGAACCTTGAAGCGGCCGCCCAAATCAGAATGCTGGGCCTCAATACCTAGCTCCATGCCTCACTTTCACGTATCTTGCACCGCCTGAAGCCCACCACCCTAAGCCGTGCATCGCGGCATAGGTGAAGAGGCGGTGACTCACCCTGAGCAACTCGATGTAGCGCTGCAAGTCCTTCTTTGGATTAAAGGTGCTGATGTTGCCAATCACTTTCAGGATGTGCCTGTTTGAAGATTCAACGCATGCCCAGTCGGATGGCCAACATTGTGGCCTGTATTTTGGTTTCAGCTACTGCATGAGTAGAGTCATACCTGTCATACCGGCATACCTTCACATTCGTGGCCAGGATGTCGGCTAATTACCCGATACTTGCAGAGAATTGTCTGCAAGCTACAGAATTCTTTTGGGCATCTTCCCCATTCATGGGCGGGCACACACACACACACTCACACATGCAGTCCACTTGCAAAAATTCTGCTGGCAGAATGTACTGGGCCTGGTGCTGGGGTCCTGCTCTTTCGTGGCAGGCCGGGTGTGAAAGACATCGCTTGCTGCACTTGTCGTAATTCTTGGCTCTGGTTATGGAGAGACAGGAAACTTAAGACCATGCTTGGAAAAATCCGAACACCCTCAGCCCGAACCAACATCTTACATGAGCCTGAATAGTAAACACAACAAAAGCCCACAGAGCTCCCCCAATACAATTATAAGCTGTCCCACACATGCCCAGGCCCGAGTCCAATTCTTCAGAATCTATCATTACCTAATACCCTTCTTCTTTCGATTACTACGTATCACTACGGTTGCTACTACTATTCTTCTTCTTCTTCGGGAAGACCAACCCTGCAAATTCGTCCTTCGGGTTTAGGTCGTTTGGTTTAGGGTAGCAGACCTAGTCCGAAATTTCAACAATGCAGCATTTAGGGTTCAGGGTTTACGGGCTCGAGTCCGAAAGCTTCAACCCTACAACACGAGCTTCAAGCCACAGAAACTTGAAGCTTCGACCTGAACCGCACGTCCTCAGAGCCCATAACCCCGAATACTGAAGCCTTCAACAAGGTCGGAATAGTTGGTAGCTTGTTTTGGGGCTCTAAGATGTGCTTTTTCGTAGTAGAACCGCCAAACCCTCGTCTAGTCTTTCTGCCCTAATTGGCCCCGAACGCCACACACCCTAAACCCATACGAAACGCTAAACCCCCAAAACCTACTTGGAAGATCATGGGACTTAGCATGTAAGTATAGGTACGCAATTATAAGCCTAGCTAAGTATAGTTGAACTAATTATTACCCTAGCTACTAAGCCCCATGACTGATAGCCCTATAAGTAAGCCAGCCCTAAACCCTACGAAACGCTAAAGCCCCAAAACTTAAGCCAGCCCTACATGGGAGTTTCCGAAAATCAGGGGTACCTTATTTGGGGTCCTTGGAATAAGAATCCTACCATTTAGGGTACTATATTCGGGATTAGGGTCCCCTATTTTCGGAAACTCCCACACGGAAGGCACAAGTTGCGGATCTCTCCCTGTACAGGCAGGGAGCCTAATCCTGCCTTGAATCGAGCTCGAAAGACGAGACCCGAACAGGGTCCCTAATATGAGGGGCCTGGATAATTAGAATAGGGCTTGGGGGCCCATTATGCTATAATTATAATAAGGAACCCCCAAGATAGTACAGGTAATAATAAGGGCCCCTAGATTATTGAAGGGTCCTTCTTGGTCACAACAACGTAATTATCCAGTTCGTGTTAAGACTCAGCGCTCACAGCCCTTCATAAACGCTGCTGTAGACTTGCCTGAAACCCATTTGACGACGAGTCCAGAAGCACATGGTCAAGGGAGATGGATTTCGACGGGTTTCTGTGGCTCTCGGCTTTCGCTGCGGTGGTTAGGCGGCAGTTGGGGGTTTAGTCTTTGTAGGGTCCCCACGTTCCAGGATTTACGGTTTTAAGGCTTCTTCCTGCTTAAGGTCTTGAGATTTGAGCGTAGTTATCCGCGTCTCGGCGCAGCAGAACTTGGGTTGTCAGCACTCAAACCCTAAACCCCTAAACCCCTAAACCCTAAACCCCTAACCCCTAAACCCCTAAACCCCTAAACCCCTAAACCCCTAAACCTTAAACCCCAAACCCCTAACCGAGCTTCGAGGGCCTTACGTGGCTCGTTAGGAGCAGGGCCGCAGCCTATCGATTGCTCCTCAGATGTGGGTAGTGGTCAAAATTATGGTCCCCTTTCTAGGACCCAGAGTAGGCCCTTGTTCTTTTTTTTTGTTTTGGGTTTTAGGCTCCCTCACTCCTAGGTCTAGTTCTTGGGTACCTTAAATATTAGGTGCCGCATTATATTAAGGGCCCAGAAAGGGATCATGATTTTGAAAAAACTACACATTTCCGGCTTTGCCAAAGCCGCCACGAGGCTCCCAGGGGGTGGAGCCGATGTACTGCATCCGATTTGTGCCCTTTCTTCCAGGCGGGTGGGTCCGAGAGTTGAGGAGTCGTGCGATAATAGCTGCTGTTCATTCTCATTCATTCTTGTGTGACCAGACTCATTTGATGGACCTTTCTGGTCGTTGGGGGGTGGGTTTGGTGTGGGAGCTGGTTTTGGGCGAGTTGGAAAGAGTATGGTTCCTGAAAACGACAGACAACTCGGCGGGACTTGAAGCAGGGATTCTGTGTCTTTCGGAAGTCAACGGCAGATTCGCCGCGTCTCGTGAATCCAAGGCTTTTAACTTTAAAGGGACCGTCCAAGTTCCGCGGTGAAAGTGTCGCCCCTCGATAACGATCTACGTATAGGCATGAGATTTAGGGTTTGCTGCAGAGATCGTCAGTTTGTAGTCTTCAATCCCACGTCCCAACCCGACATACCGAGCCACCTCAAACTGTTCAGCTCGAAACAGAAGAGACCGTTGAAAACCTTGCCAAACTGCTGCAAAGCTTGGAAAATCCTGGAACGAACAAAGGCATGCAATGTCGCTTCGATTCTCCGTTTTTCTTACAAGCAAGGCTGCACAGTCTTTGTTCTTCCGGACAACCTACTACTTGTTACAACCATGGTATAATACAAGGCCCCTATACTATATTGCCAGGAATAGGTTCGACTTCAAACTGCCAGGCGCCCTGTGCCGTGACGCAGCGAAGGCCGGGTGGCGCCATGTAGGGGCAAAGGGTCTCGGGTTTAGGGTTTAGGTGTTCAGGGGTCGAGGGTTTAGGGTTTAGGGCTGGGGGCTTCGTTAAATGAGCAGTCTTCTTTACTGCTTGTCCTGACAAGCGAAGTACAGAAAGTATGACAGACAAGCAAACCATGGATTCAGCAAGCTATTTAGGATGAGAGGTACCGAATGGGCCCCAACGTTTCTTTCACTCTAAACCCTGAGCCGTAAACCCTAAACCCTACATAAACCTTAAACCCTATATAAACCCTAAACCGTATATAAGCCCTGCACCCTATATAAACCCTAAACTATGTAAACCTTTCACCCTACCTACACCCTAAACTCTATTTTAAACTCTCCAACCTACCTAAACCTAAACCTTAGATAACCCCAAACCCCCTCTATCAACCCTCAACCCTATATAAGCCCTTAACCCCAAGCCTATGGTCGCTCCCCTCAAGAGGAGGCTCCTCTTCAGTGGCAGCTGGTGCTTCGATTTCAGGACTGCCCTGTTGGTTTGGGGTTTAGGGTTTAGGGCTTAGGGTTTAGGGTTTTAGTTAGTGGGTTCGATTTCAGGACTGCCCTGTTGTAGTCGAACAGGGTTTTGGGGTCTATTGTAGGAAAAAATCGGTGAACATTCTCTTCTAAGGAATTATATTGGTAGTCATTCAAGCTTATCTATCGCTTCGGGATCAGGGTCAGGGGTGTTGCGCCCATGCTCGTAGTATTTCGACTGGGAGTGAACACCCTAAACCCTAAACCCTAAACCCTTATACCCTAAACCGGTTCATGCCCATGGTCCTGCTTGTTTTTTCCTTCCCGGTGCTTGGATCCTCAGCCCTGAAGCTTACGAGTGAAGTCCAGCGCTTCTCTCAGCCCCAGCCCCGAGTAGATCGTAACCTCTACGACTTTCCGGACTATGGGGGGCCTTAATGGTTGGAATAGGGTTTCCGGACCCATTATGATACATAATCAGAAACCCCAAGATAGTAATTATAGGTTGTTAGTTAGGCCTCTATAGTATTCTGTAAGATAGTAATTATAGGTTAGTATTTAGGCCTCTATAGTATTCTGTAAGATAGTAATTATAGGTTATTATTTAGGCCTCTATAGTATTCTGTAAGATAGTAATTATAGGTTATTATTTAGGCCTCCATAGTATTCTGTCGATCTGAGTCGATGCAGGACTTGATCTGCCGTATTTGGCTCCGGGCTCTTGGCCCCGAGCTGGCGGCCGGCGCGTCGGCGGCGGCCACGGTGCCTCGACAGGAGGTGGGCCGATCTTTCAGGGGCTGTGGCCGGGGATTTTCGGTCACATTTTGTGAGGGATGGTGTTGGGTTTGAGCGCAATATCTTCGTAGCCGTTGTCTTCGAAGTAGTTGCTTCGAAGTAGTTGCGGTCGCCTTCGTGGCCGTGGTGATGTTGCTGCAGATGATGCTGCCATTGCTACGGGATTGCTCTCATTACGGTCAGAGACGGAGCGACAACATGAATGCGGGCGGCAATCATGAATGAAGCACCACTAGTCACTAGTCGTTGCAACATCGGTTAATCGTCGCCATGCTCCCCTTGCGCCATCGTCAGCGTTATCGTCCTCATCGTCGTCATCATCATCACCGAAGATGATTGCCATCCTCATCCTCATCCTCAACCTCATCATCGTCATCGTCATCGTCCTCCTCCTCGTCCTCCTCCTCCTCCTCCTCCTCCTCCTCCTCCTCCTTATCATCATCATCGTCAGCGTTGGCATCTGCATCGGCATTGTCATCATCGTCATCATCATCGTCATCATCATCGTCTTCATCGCCATGGCCATCATCATAACCAACATCACCATCACCAACATCATCAGCAGCCGCAGCCATATGGGCTCAAACACAGCTTGTCGCGTCAAGGAAGCGTTTGGCAGCAACTCTCTGTGTGTCGAATCAAGGTAGCGTGTGGCTGCAGCTCTCCACCCTTCGGGCCAGTGTCCAAAACGGATGCCCCGCATGACAAGGCCCCACGAGGCTGTTTGACATTGACGAGAGTCGTAAACCTTCCCAGCTTCGGGCGCATGGTGTGCGCAACAGCCGTGCGAAGCTCCCTACGTTCTTCAGAAACGGAGGGGCGACGCTAATTCTTGCTCCGCTGCAGGCTGTCGTAGAGCCAGAGTCGCCCGTGAATGACATTGACGAGAATTTCGAGGACATCCTCGACAACTCGGACACGTGGTGGGTGCACCCGTGCACGACGGAGCTGCCGTTGCTACATCCCGCCCAGATGGAGAAAGAGCGCATCGCGGCAGAGATCGAGTCCGGCATGGAGGATACGGCTTCTATCTACCTATCTGTCTGCACTTGATGGTGACTCTGTTGATTCCGACACTTCAGGCAGGACATCGGAGCAAGCAGACTGGGGCCCCGACGCAGAAAATTATCTCAAATTTCTGACAGCCTTCTGCTGGCTGTTGGTGATGGAGCTTTGCATTCGACTACCCAGCCAAGATATTGCAAGGATTGCTCGCATCATCATCATCATCATCGTCAGTATCATCATCATCATCATCATCAGCAGCATCAGCATTACCACGAGGGCATGTGGGGCTTGCTGCGTCCAGAACTGCATGTGTGCATAGTGCAGTGGTACCTTACTTTTCCCAGCCGCCATGCTCGTCAGGACGCACATCGGCCAGCAGGATCCCAATTAACAACGCACGTCGCACGCGCACAGCTCGTAAATGCAGCGACCCCATCATGTCATGACCCAGCCATCAAGACACACAGTGCCAATGGAATGCCTCCATATCGCCACGGTGGCAAACGCTTTTCAAATTGGATTCCTTTAAACGGATATTTTGTCACTGTCCAGCAAGCGCGCCGAGAACTTCATGCCAATTGGTCAGGACACTAAACCGGTCAGTGCTTCAGATGTTCCTTTTGCTGATGGGCTGATGGAATCGAAGGTGCAGCACAGCATGTGACCAATGCGGACACGGCACGGGAAGCAGACGTTGCTTGTGTCGACAAATCAGCTTTTGGCATGGACGAGTTTCAGGGACTTGCAAGCATGGTTTGGTAGCTGATTTGACACACTGTCCTGAGTGTCATTACTAGTGAAACAACCCTCGGTACATCGCTAGACATGCGTGCCGGCAATGGCAATGCCAGCACATTTCAGATGCTGAGCCGATGGTGCGCAATTGAGTTCTACCAAAGAGCGAGGCTGGTAAGCCATGCAGGTGTGGCCAGGACTGAACAGCCCTCCGTGGCAAGCTTGATGAAACCTCCTTGGACCCTGACGCTCCCAACGTTTGTACGCCCCGCCTTTGAAGTCACAGACGTGGGCTATAGGGTTGATGGTGTCATGTATAATTGGCCCCAGTATCCGCAATGGTTGCTACCCTGCTGCTGTCCTGGCTGATGGTCAGATCATTCACTCTATTGATGACAGCTGCGCTTCGCCGTCCGTTATTTCGGTGCAAAATACCCAGGTGCTGCCCCATGCATACTTGCAAAAGAATTTGCACGTGGTCGACTAGTCCCTTACGCCGTCTTCTCAGCTCATGCTGTCAAACATGGTGCCCGCTCATGGATTTCATATTGGATGTTTCTCTCGGTATGCTGCCCGTCTGACTGGCCCTGCGGCGCGGGGGAAGCAAACAAACCGTGATAGAGAAGGCTGCTGGAGCCGAAGTTGCCGTGTCTTAAGATGCCGGGGTTAAACACTGCCCGTTAGACCGAGGCGCTGACCTCCTTTTGTGGCGCGTGCGAAAATAACAATAGTAAGAAATTTATCAACATCAATATCAACATCATCAGCATCAGCACCAGCTCCAGCCCCAGCACCAGCACCATCATCATTATCGGCTGTATCAATGTCAGCATCAACATCATCAAAAGCGTCAGCATCAACATCATCTTCAGCGTCAGCATCAGCATCACCAACCCTCATCAGCATCAGCGTCAGCATCAGCATCACCAACCGTCATCAGCATGAGCATCAATGCCATCATGTTCATCATCAGCTCCAGCATCGGCATGGACATCGGCATCATCAGAGTTATCCTCATTTCCGGCTTCATCTTCGCTTTCATCTTCATCATCGTTATCAGGCTCGTCATCATCATCATCATCATCGTCATCGCTTTCAGACATCATTATGGTCATGATCATCACCATCATCATCATCGCCATCAGCATCATCATCACCGTTATCAGCATCATAACAATAATAATGTATAATAATTTGTGAGAAACACCATGACCAGCATTATCACAATCATCGTTTTCACCATCATCGAGACCATCATCGTCAGCATCGTCATTACACTTGTCTCAGTACCAACATCAGCGTGCAATTCGACCCTCTTCATGCGCAGCTGCCCCATGCCCTTCGAAATAGGTACCCGGGATCATTCATCGGCTGCAGATGGGGCTGTTGGACGTGCGGCTCCAAGTCCAACATTCTTCGTCCGGCATTGCCGTTGCAGGGAGCTTCGGACGTTTCTGCCATCCGCTCATGGCGGTTTCGGGTCCCAAAAGTTCCCACATTACAATTTCTGGATATTGAGATGCTTCAACGCCTATTCTGGCAGACGGGGTGGCTGACCATTTTCGATGAAATCTGCACCCTTAACGCACTTCTTACAATAGTGCTTCTACACCTGGTGCTTATGTCCGTGGATCAATCGGTGGTACTGTTCCATTAGAGCTCCTGTGACATTGTCGTTCACCTTGAGTCCTGTTGTTTTGGGTAACTTCGGGAGTACTTGCAGCCAAGCTTTAGAAACCCCAGTCCGCAGGGGTTTGAGCACCCACATGCTGCAGCAATAGAAAACCCGATGGAGTGGCGCCGTCATGTACCAACTTCGCATAGTTGTGAAATCACGCGCCACGCGCCTAACGAACCACGACTGCACGAACAGTTGTACAATATACTGATAGTGCCGTGCCATGTCACGGTGCCATGGCAGGAAGGTTGCAGATACGCAGTATCTAGAGGGGACACATCAGTCTAAGGGCACAGTTCCCTGATTTGATAAGCGTAATAAGGGAGCGACAGCAGATTTTACCGGCAGATTGAGACACAGCCCCTTCTTTGGTTCTGCCTTTTACCTAACATGGTCCTTGCAGGGCTCCCTTCGAGTATTTGGGCCCTACGTTTCTGAATCTCCTTGAGTTATCGTCTTCGGCCCGTATTCTGAGACGTAACAGGCCTAACCCTAGCCAGGTCGCATGTCAGGCCTCGCAAGCTAAGGCCAACGAAAGAGCAACGGTCATCAAAGACACAGACCTCACGTTCAAGAAAACTACGAGCTAGGTGAATACATATTACACTCTAGTCATGATTAGACATGTTGGAGCAGTTAGTACTTCCTGTGCGCCCGAATCCCCCTCTCTGTCGGGAGTTCAGGCAGCGGACTTGCTGAAGTCGGTGGTGGCGGCGATGCAGAGGCTTAACTGATGCATTGCGTAGCTGTGCGCACCCATGTAAGGCTCGTTCCCTGAGCTCTGAACCTGTCAAACACCCTAGAACATACTTCATGAGGCCCCAACACACCCCTTACAAACAACACCTACAAACATGCCCAGTAGACCCTAAATCCTAAAACCTAAGCCCTAAACCCTAAACCCTAAGTCCTAAACCCTAAACCCAAAGCCCTAAACCCTAAACCCGAAACCCTAATCCCTAAACCCAAAGCCCTAAACCCTAAACCCTAAACCCAAGGCCCTAAACCCCAAACCCTTAACCAGAGGCCCCAGCTGCAGCTCCCGCCGCCACCCGTCATCCCAGCGCTGATGGGCGGCGCTTGATGGGAAACCTCCCGGGTATGAGGATACGTTCTGTTTGTGCCTGCTTGCAAGGATCAGGGGGTCCTGAGGGTAGTTCTTGGGCTTTAGGCTAGAGGGTTTTGGGGTTCCAGGATTGATTTAGGTTTCGGGCTAGGGTTCAGGGTGAGTGTTGAAGTCTCGGCAGCACCATGCTCGGAATCCGATAACATTGAGTTGTGCCTGAGCACATGATGACTTTGAGTCGTGTGCTATCAGGTAGGCTGAAAGCTCCGAGCCCTTTTGAAACCCTGCATGCAATACAACCTCTACCTGCAGGAGATTATTTGCATGGAGCTGGGCCGCCTCATAGCGCTGAGGAACAGGGAAAGTCTGGATTTGCGGAGCCGTTGATAAGCCCCGCTTGCATTTGCCGGAAGCTACGGACATTCGTACCCCAAGTGCATGTAGCTTGGTAAGTCGATGTTACGCAGCCGGATGAACCTGTGCATCTCAGGAGTTCAAGCCGAAAACCTCGAAGTCAGCAGCTTCCACAGTTCTCTTTTGGCAACATCTGCGAAGTTGTGGTACTTGTAGGACATCGACATCCATGGATGCCAAGTGCATCTCAGGGCCAGGTGCGAGACATGAGCCCCTGTGCCCGTCGGTGCTGTAAGGAAGCGAGGTGGTGCACCCACGAGACAGGCTCTGTATGCTTGTGATTAGCATTGGTGATTAGTGCCTCTGTTGATTGTTTATGCCTTTCAGCTGCTGTGAGTACGTGTTGGAGACACCTCCCGTCATCAACCGTGACTACTTGCACGTTGGGAACGGCTTTTTTGGGAGCAGCAGTGATCACTTCATCAAAGTTCTAACTTGATCTAAGCTGCAGGAGGGGATAGCTCATGGCACCAATACTCGGCTCGGCCCATGGAAGCAGAATTGCAAGGGCTCCTCCTGAGCCGGCTCGAAGAGGGCCCATCCCACCACCACCTCCCCAGGCAAGCCGAAGGCCTTTTCCAGATCGGTTGAGGGTGTAGGCCTTGTTTGGGCGGCCTTTCCGGCTCGAGGTGACATGGGGTTCAAGGGGTGGGGCTTCTGAAGCCCGTGAATTCGTGCGAAAACTCATTAGTCCAGGCATACGGCTCTCTGTCCGTTGCTCAAATCAAGATGCTGCTAAAGTTCACGCCGGCGTGTTGGGATCTCCCCGTGGCCCTGAACCCTAAACGGCATCTCTGATGAGCCACGGATGCTCGGCCTTGTGCAGCCTGTGTGGGCCTCGCCGGCAGGGCCTCTTGCATCACTTTCAATTCAGTTTAGGCTACTTTCCACGCTAACCGCCAACCTCGATATGGCAATATCAATCTTGCGGAGATGGCTCCTAAGGCAGTCCCGAACTATTGCAATACTAGTCAGTTCCACGCCCATAGGGCCCAGAGTCTAGGAGTTCAGGGCTTACGATGTCAGGGTTAGAGTTTGAACCTGACCCCCAGAGAGCCCAATACCCCTTAACTAAGGAATATTGCTTAAATCATAATATGAAGCCCTATATAATTTAAGCCATATTCCTTAATTAAGGGGTATTGGGCTCTCTGGGCCCGTAGCCAGCCGAATCCACCTTGGCCCCCATCCAAGCAAGCCGATGGAAAGTAACATAGCTTGAAATTGTGGAGGATCCCGGGACTAAGTAAGTAAGGTTATTAGTAGCTTAATTAATTGGGGTTATAGGTAAATATAGGTATAGTTACCTTAATTCTAGCTCGAGTTGCCAAGTCCCATGAACCTGCAAGTAAGCAATCACAGTACTGACATGACCCCTTAGACTTCCGTAATGTAGCTATGCCATAACATACCCCACCACCCTAATTCTAATCTCCTTAGGGGTACTTAGAAATAGTTTTTAATTTTTGGTTATTATAATCCCTAAGAAACACCTAAAATTACAATTTTTGCTAGGGTTCTAAGTTCAGTATAGTCTTTTTAAAGGCCCCTACAGTATCTGAGCTGCCCCAGGAGCCTGGTCCAAGGTTACAAGGCCCCTGTGTTGCAGGCTCCGCTTCCTGCACCACAAGCCCAAGGGTTCACTTTGTCATAGTTAGGTAACATTTTACATGTTTATGGGTACTTGAACCCAATAAGGAATAAAAATGTACATTTCAAATCCTATCCCAACAATGAGCTAGTTCAGCGGCTTAGTAGGGTCATAAATTGGGGTTATCTTGGGCCTTTGAGTCGGGTTTCGCTTTGGCTACCGGACGTGGCCCCACATTGATCCAACACTTGCGCAGATGGTGTTTGGCAAAAAGCTGCCGAGGTGTAGATAGCAGTAGTATGAGAAATTAGCGATGCTCGCCGTCGTACTCCGCATCGTGTCTATGACTAACGAACTCATCGCCGTCACTTCAGGTGCCTCATTCTCGTCCTCCGACTCGTCACCATGGCCATACGCCCCATGCGTAAACATAGGCGCAAAGCCCCAAGCTTCGTAGCGTGTCGTCCGGGTAGGACCCTTTTTGGAGCTTACGCGGCTTGGGTTCGGGTTATAATATACTTCATTATGCTAGCAGCTACACAGCCCTACTAAGACCGCCATATGTACATATTGTATATCTTATTATACATATATATATATATGTGTATATACACATGCACATATACACAGATACATAAGTACATAGATGATGTATAAGATGACCGGGTTATCGGGTCGCAGTCCATCAGTTTTCCCTGCTACGGTGTGATTCCGGCTCACAGAAGCAGAGCTGGAGGGCGAAGGGCGCCGGAGTCAGAAACGCGGGAGGGAAGCTTACAACAACCGAGTTTGCTTGCTCTTTTAGTTTGCCAGAGTGTCAAGGTTCTAAGTCTAAGGTTGGAGAGACGACTTCGTGATTTGCAAAAAGACGATTCTCCATGCTGCGGGGACGCGGAGGCGGTCTACGACTGTTGAAGACTGTCAGCGTTTGTACAATATCCACTGTAATGCGCAATAGAATATATCATAGACCATATCATATAATATGCCACCTGTAATAATTACAATTTAGCAAAATAGATACTGTAACGTCTGACGTGTATGTCTTGGCCTCGCCCCCATGATCTGGCGAAGGAGGTCTCCGCGGCACGACGGCTGCACGCCTCGGGTTTGTGCGCTGTGCTTCTGCTCTGTCCTCTGTGTCGTTTTTTGGGGGAAATCCCACTGCAGCTTCAGTGCCCCTACCCGGTCCCAAGCGTTGGAGAGAAAAACGACAGAGGCGTGGCAAGATGTTGCTGGACAGCATGTCTGTAGACAGCTCTTTGCTATCGTTGCCAGGAGGCGCCAGCGGTTCCTTCGGTTCAAGCAGGCTGAGTTCTTGAAGTTGGCAAATGCCTGCCAGGATGCACTTGGCCAGACGGTTGATGTAGAGTACTTGGGATATCCAAGTGGAACACCGCAAAAAAGCAGTCTGGACATACAGCTCACGAAGGTGGATCGGGGAAAGCAGGTCATCAAGCCGTTTACTGCCGACGATGCCCAAGCTTTGGCCAAAAGTCTTAGCAAATTAGACTTCGTGGACGATGGAGAGCCCGTTGTGGAGAAGGACGTGCTGAGGTTCGCAGTTCGAGACGACGTGCTGCGGAAGTCCATCGAAGTGAACATCGTACTTGGCCCACAGCTTGTCGAAGAGTTTCCGAACTTGCGGGGAGGGGCCGACTTCCGAGGGAATTTCGACCGCATCAGTGAATTCTTCAGCCAATCAGAAGAGGCCAGGCTGGCCGTTGCTGGCATAAGAGCTTGTCTGGTGCGGGGCCCAGAGAGTACGCTGATAGAGGCGATTGCCTGGCGAGTGGGCCAAGTTCTCAGGCTCTCATCAGCTGATCGGGATGACCTAGCAGGTCGGACCTTTCTCTACTTTCTGCACCTGTTGCAGGCCTTTCGGGATTGGGAGACCTCGGATATATTTGCAGCGGATTTGAAGCTGGACTTGGACAACTTGGGGTTGCAACATCCCGAGCAGCGAGGACGCTGCATCTCAGGTTTCGAGGACTTTTCCCGTCAGATCAACACCCTGGAGTGGTTAAACCGATTGAGTAGCGTTTGGGACAATGATGATGAGTACTGTCACAATGCATTGAGAAAAACTGGCAAGCATCCTGATCGCCACTGCTTCATCTCGACGAAGCCAGCGCCTTTTCTCAAGTGTATCTCCTGCTATGATTACAATAACGGTGTAGGTCTGGGTCCGGATGACAGGTGCCAAGCCTGTGGCCAAATTCAGACGAAGCATCCGGAGTTTAAGAGATTGCGTCAACATGTGGAAGAGTACAGCTCGACCCAAAACACGACCTTTGATCCACCACCAGAGGAAGGACGATGGCTGATTCGGCTCGGAAACGAGAGCTCAAAAAAGTCACACTTTATCGTCGAAAACCTTGAGGCAGAAGCCCGGAGGCTATTCCCAGAGATGTCGACCCAAAGTGTTTCAGAACTCTTTGCCAAGTTGCTGCAGAGATACCAGAAGATGAGACGAGAAGTGGTTTCCTGGTATTGTACCAAAGACGAGCCAACCGGGCTCTTCCGCTGCTCTCTCAGCGAACATATGAATCGTATCGCCACTGGACAGCTCCAGGTATCGAAGCAAGCTGCCAAGTGGTCCGCACTCCTGGCAGCTCTCCGGGCTGCGGAAGAAGGTTCAAGTGCCCAGGCAGAAAGAGTGAACACAGACTTCTGGGCCTCCGAGTGACTTCACCATGAAGTCTTGGATCTTTAGCCCTCAACAACCCTGACTTCATTTACAGGTCTGGAGCTTTTTGGTGCGTTCATAATACCACTGAGTTGATGCATCTGTTTGCGCAGTTCAGCCGAAATCCCTCGCCCCCTGAGAATTTTCTTGTGAGGGTTTTAGGATTAATATCGGGGCCTTAGTAGTTACCTGTACTATTTTGGGGGCTCCTTATGATAATTTTAGTATGATGGGCCCCGAAACCCTATTCTAATTGTTAAGGCCGCTGTACTAGGGTTTAAGGCTTTTAGGTTATTGAACATGCCATGCTGATTGTGAGTCCGAGGCGGACTACGGAATGACCCTGTGCCTGGGGGAACTCCAAACTCACAATTTTCACCCTAAGCCTTAACACTAAACCTGAGATGTAAACCCCTAACCCTGCTCCAATACTCGCCGCACAGCTGGGCTCGTCCTCATAGCACCTCAATATGCCCTCCAAGTTCAACAGATTGTGCTTGCTTTAAGAAGCCGTCTATTGCAACAAGGACCGCAAAATGCTAGGAAGGACCATTCTTCAGAATTCAGAAGACCCCCTATACCTAAACCGAGATCAACAGTTCTAGCGCTTCCGAGGAGCACTCCCTAATCTCAGTCGCACCACGTACATAGTTATGGTTTCTCATGTGCCCGCAAACCACAGAGGAGTCCAGACAATCAGGGTCCACGATTCCACCCCTGTGCTCCCTCGTAACGTTACACCAGTAGGTAACCTTTTTAGCTTGTTGACGGCGTATAGTGCCTGTATAGCCCACACGGATAACCTCGAACAACCCCGGACAAGTGGGAACCAAAAGCCCCAGCCATGGACCCCTTGGCTGCGGCGGCATTGGGATTAGCGGCGCATGCGGGGCTCGAGGCCAAAAAATCGGAGGCGGGCCTTGCAACATGGGGTCTGAATAGCTAGACTCTCGAATGTTCAGGGTTTTGGGTTGGAGAGTATTACCTGATAGTCCCGATATAATCATAAACTCAGAAGCCCTATTCTGTTCTACATGTTAAGGCCCCTAGCTAGGGATTCCCAACTTGCTTAAGACTCGCAGGGTTCATCGGTTAGGGGCTTGGGGTGACATGAATGGGGTTACATGCTTTGATTTGATTGGGTTGCGGTTTGAGGTTTATGAAAGTAATGAGATTGCATGATGGAGGGGGTTCTGGGGATCGAACTTTGATTGATGGTCGAGAGCTTCCTTCAGCTGCAACTTTCAGAGCCTGGTATACGAGTTCCGAAAAGTAAGGGGTCCTAACCCAGACCCGACATACCAGGATCTTCATCCCAACCATCACGCTTGAAACGAAGCCCTTCCGCTTTAAGAACCCCGAGCAAAGTCCAGTTAAACCCAGTGCCATACCCAAAACTTTTTACAAGCAACCCGGCCCTCCCCAAAAAAAGTGAAGCCATCGCAGCGCCGCCAAACCTCAAGACTCCCACGAAAGAATATCCACATTTTGGGTGTTCTCTCAATTAAGGGTCGGGATTTTGGTAGGATCTTCATAGAAAGGACCTCATCCACAATCTTACCAAGACATTAAACCGCAAAGCCATTAACCACCGTAAGGTCCAACATTCCCTAAACCCTAAACCCTAAACCCTTAAACCCTTAACCCTTAAACCCTAAACCCAAAACCCCTAAACCCTAAAACCCGATAAAGGACGTGAAGCAGTGAGTGGAGTCAGCTAAAAGTTATGGTTAGAGATTCTGTGATTTCAGCAGGTACTCGATGCCGTTTGTGCTTCGGTGACTTGTGTTAGTGCAAGCCCCTTTGTGAGGCAGGCTGCTTCCTGCATCGAGCATGCTCACGCACAGAAAGAAGCCACTGCACTTTCAGAAAAACCCGAAACCCCCAACCCTGTGAGGAAGCGGCCTCCGATCCTTTCGCCTCGGCTGTGAAGGGCCTTGCGGTCCACGCCGGCCTGGAGAAGAAGAAGCCGGCGAAGGAGCTTGTGCAGAAAACCCTAAACCCTAAACCGTAGGGCTTGGGGTGCTGGGTTTAGGGGCTCCTGGGGTTAAGGCTTCGGGTGTAAGGGTAGGGTCTAAACTCCGGGTCGGCCTTGGGCCACAAGGTCGTAGGATATTACAGAGCTCGAAACAAGAGTTTTCAACTGTGCTAGAGACAACGGGCCCCAACAGCTTACAATGCAAACCCCTGGTACTCGCGACGTTGAACCCACGCTCGATAACCCAGAACACTCCATAGAAAACCCCCTTTCTTAAAATGCAGTGAAAATTGGACCACTATTAACATCCTTTGCCCTAACGAAGCCTTAAATTGCCTTAAATCCTAAACCCAGTGCAAACCCACTAAACTTTAAAATCCTAAAACCCTTTATAAACCCCTAAACCCAAAACCATTCCCCGAACCGCTAATCCCAATCCCCTTACCCACTTCAGACACCAGGAAGCCGCCGATCCCCTGGCTGCTCTCACAGCGGGGCTCGTCGCTCACGCCGAGGAGGTGAAGCAGCGGCCGCCGGCCCGCCCGGGGGGGAGGGGTGTCGAGGGTCTCGGGTTTAGGGCTTATAGGGCTTAGGGTTATGTAGGGTTTAGGGTTTAGGGTTGAGGGTCTCGGGTTTAGGGTTTAGGGTTATGAGTTATGAGAGGATCTGAGCTTTGCATGGCTGGAGGGAGGCTCGAACTTTCCGTAGTGGGCTTCCGTAAGAGCACAGTTGATTTTGTTGGGAGGATTAACAGCAAGCAGTGAGATGGGCAAGCCTGTCGGAAGGGCCAGCAGGGTTTAGAGCGCATGAGCAAAGACGCTCGCCAACCCGATCCATACAAGACCCCGAGTAGCTCCACACCAACGACTCAAGCGCAGGTATGGGGCGAAGAGCTGGATGATCCCTTCCTGGGGCCACGAATCGCTCTGGCCGCCGAGGATGCCATGAAGAGCATCCAGGTGTCAGGGCAGAAAGGGCGGGCTGCACGATACATCGTGGGTCGTTCGGTTTTTGTGTGGAGTGCACGAGCGCTTGGGAAGCGTTGCCGGTCGTAATACAATATTGTACACTGGGCTTCAATCCGACGTTTCTGCTAAGAGGTAAGGAATTGAAAGAAACAAGCCTTGCAAGAGAGCAGCCGCAGCTCTGGTATTGACGACCGCTGTCGGTATATCGCTGCGACGACTCAGTACATGCAGAGTCATGCAGTATGTTTTGTCAGAGAAGCCTTGCTGTCTGCTGTCATGAGGCTGTACAGATGCTCTTTCTTCGCCGATTTTTTTTATTTCTCCGAGACACAGGCTGACTGGGGTCCCTTCCAGACCCCTGCACGCCGCCGTACTAAAAAAGCAGAGGATGCCACACATCCGAAATCTTAAACCCGAAGACCCAGGCTGACTGGGGCCCCGTCTTTGTCTACGGTCCGATGCTTCTTCCTGCCGCTACTCGCAGCATGCAGCGATTTTGTTAGTGCTTCGTGTTTTTTTCTTGTGCCCCGGACTGGTACGGTTTGCGGCATTGATTGCACTTTTTTGGCGGGGGTTTGCATCACCTTTCTTGTAGTTTAGCTTTTGTGTTTTAAGTTTTGGACTTTGGGGTTTACCTTTTCGAGTTTTCGTGCCTGTCTACGGATTCGGATGCTTTTTGTGAAGGGCTTACGGCTTACAGTTGAGGATCCCGGAACAGCACGCTTTCTGTTGGACATGCTTCATAAAACACAATCCTGGCCAAAGGTGTCCAGGTTTTCTACACCCCAAAACCGAAACCCTAAAACCCTGAGTCGGTTCAGGGTTCAGGTATACTGGAAAGCACGAGAAACGCCACACCCGGAACTTCAAACGCCAACTCAAGCCCGAAGCCTTGAAACCTCAAGAACCAACCATATGAGCGTCCAAAGCAATACACCTCTAAAGCTTATATGCATTGAACTTCTAAATCCCCAAGCCTTAAACCCTGCACTCTGAGAACCCTTATACCCTGATCCTAAGCCTTTAGAGTCTTGCAGCTCTGAAGTCCTAAATCCCATGGCTCAGTGCTGTGCAGGTTTGGGGTCACCTGATTGGCAGAGTGCCTGACATGGCGCGCCCGGGGGAAAGATGTTACTCTAAGGCCTAGGTTCTAGATGGATGAAGGATTAGTATCAGTGCTACTCTAGGTGCTACTATACGGGTTACGACGATACGGGCTACAAGACTGTATGTGTCACTGTTCAAGCACTTCTCGGGGCTGTACAGAGCTAAGGGTTTTTGGCCGTTCAGGAATTGAGGTTTGAAAGGGTGTTTATCGACAGCTCGTAGCTGCTGGAGTTTAGAGAGGGCTTCAGGGTTGCTCCCTACAGGTGTTAGTTGCTTGGAGGCTCCAAGTAGTTGAAGCCATTGAGCTAAACCCCAAAATTATAGTATAATAGGCCCCAAAACCCCATTCAAGGCCCCTATATTCTAGTATACCCTTGTCGTATCCCTTATAGTAGCCCTTATAGACCCGGAGCCCTCTTCTAATTAGTAAGGCCCCGATATCAGTCGTCTCCTGAAGGCCCCAGCTCGCCTTCCTGGCTTCGTGCGCAGGGGTCTGCGCCTGGTCGGCGCTGGTTTTTTTGGGGCTTTCGGAAGGTTCGGGCTTTGGGTTCAGGGTTGGGGACTCAGGGTTTATGTTTGGGGGTTTAGGGTTTTAGGGAGTTTAGGGTTGGGGGTTTAGGGTTTAGGGTTGTGGGTTTAGGGAGTTTTGGGTTCCGTGAGTTTTGGGTTTAGGGCTCCGGGAGGTTTGGGTTCAGGGTGTGTGGTTTAGGGTTTTGCACTAGTTAAGGTTTCCGGGTTTAGGGTTTAGGGTTTTAGGGGTTGGGATGTGGTTTCCTGCATCTGCAAGTTTCCAAAGCGCGCAGCTGTCATGGTCCAGCGAAGTTCCCTGTCTAACTGTCATTCTTACTGTGGGTCTCGGTTCTGGCAAAGGCTCTTCCCAAGCACCAGTCTTGTGACTACTGCAGCTACTTGAGTATACGTTCATGTCCCTTTCTACTACAGCTCTTGCCGGTTCTGATATGTGGGATTCGATGCTCTGTCTGTGGCATTATTGGTTTTCGCTGCGATTGACTGCTTCTGCCCTTGAACTATCTACTCATGGCGGTTGCTCATTCCGCTCTTGAGCTCGGTCGTCTCTGACGCTCAACATCAAAAGAACCGGCCCTGTCATGCGAATCCCGTCTCACAAAGTCCTATTGCTCTATTCTTACATTCGCATTATAGTGTCATTGTAGTATTGTTGTAGTGGTGTTGTAGTATATATTTTGGCTTTAAACTTGTCTCCATCACGGGTGCCTATAGGTGCGACACTAAGCCTGAACTCCGGACCTGCCCAGGCCCTCCCTCCCCACACCCACACGCACTGAACGCTAAGCACTCAAACTCTAAACCCCAAGCACCGAAACCCTAAACCATAAGGCGGTAAACCCTGAAACCCGAAAGCCCCAAATCCCACGATTATAGGGGCCAGATAACTACCTACACTATTTTGGGAGTTCCTTAATATACTTATGGTATAGTATATCCCCAAGACCTTATTCTAATTATCAAGGTCCTATAGTAGACCCGCACTTCCCTGAGAAGTTTCTGCTTAGGATTTGCTCCGGTGAAGCGGCGCTCGTCCCCGAGGTGGGCCCACTGGCCGAAAAGCCGGTTCATTATGGTATTAGCATTGTTACAGCTAGTTACAGCAGCATTAACAGTACAATACCATTATGGTAGAAGTGACGTCCTATGGCATTAGCATTCTTACAGTTACAGCAGCAGTAATAGTACAATACCATTATGGTAGAAGTGACGCCTTACTGAAAATCACCATCCGATCGTGTGACTGAAGCATACGCGCGCGATTCGGGAGTTTGGTTAGTAGCGTGATGCCTGCGACGAGGATGATGCACTTCCTAAAGCTACTATAGAGTCTACTGGGGGCAATGAACTTCCCTGCTTCAGGGTTGCCGTTGCCCTTACAACGATTCGATTTGCCCAGAAACTGCAAACAGCAAGCGCTAAGATCGCCGTGGATAGCACCAAAATCCAGGACCGTGACTGGAGACAACACTGTTCTAATGCAGGAACACTAAAACTCTCAAACCCGGAATCTCAAATCCTCGAGAATTTAGGAGAAATCAGGAACTCGCGCTGCTCCCCGCAACTTTTTTGTGTGCCTGTTCCGTGCGGCACAGGAGGATGGGTTTGCCATTGGCCAGGCCCAAAACAGTGTGGGGGGCTACGGGCTTTGGGTCGTGGGTTGCAAGGCGCAGAGTTTCGGTTATAAGGGCAAGGCTTTTCTTCAATGCTCACGAATACGAGTCGAAGGAGTCTGTGGGTCGTTGAGGAGTCTGTGGGTTGGATGCCGGCTGGCCGAAGAAGAATGTCGAAGACTAGCTTTGCGGGACTTGCGGCCAGAATACTGAGAACAGGGATTTGGGGTTTCAAAAGTAGAGGCAACCTACGGTGCGCTGGGGAATCATTTGGTAGTTTCCGAAAATAGGGAACCCTAATGTACGACCCTAACTAGTAGGATCCTTATGATAAGGACTAGGGCAGCCTACAAAGGCAACCTTAGTCTTGAGCATTTCAAGAGTAGTCGGTGCACCACCGCCTCGTTGTTGTAGGGATGATGTTGAGTTAAGCTTCTTGTCAATTGAATGCCGGCAGAAATTGGCATACCTGTACCGATCTGTAAGGGCTCCTTTAAGGGATCCCTCATGTGCTCCGCGAAGGCCTCCCTAAAGTGTTCCTTCAGGGGATCCTTGACGGGCTCCTTGTGACCTGCAGGTCGTCTACGGCCTGCTTCCATGGGAGAGAAGGCTCATGGACTCCGTTATCGAGGACCCCCCTGGGCAGCTGGGGTTTGGTCCGCCACTTCTTCGTGCAGAGCGCGTAAACAAAAGTGTGGGAGACTAGATTAAAAAGGGGTTGTACAAACTACAGGATGTTCGAATACATTACTATACATATATATATAGATACACATATATATATATATATGTATATATATATATGTGTATATATATATATAACTATCTAGTATAGCTTGCATGCCACCCCCCATGCTTGAGCCTGACTGCATGGTATTGGGTTTAGGGTCTGGGGTTTAAGGTGTAGCATGCTGTTGCGGTTGCGAAGGTCCTTGATGAAGATCGGAGGTACGGCACTTCCTGGTGTTTGTGATAGAAACTAAACCCATCGTAAAACCTGCTCGATGCGATATAGATGACTCGAAATAGTATCCCCAATCTGTGCCCTTATACCAAAACCCCATTCTGATCGCTAAGACCCCCATTGAAAACGCAACGCCAGGACACCTTCTCCATGGAAACTGGCCTCGTTCAGCTGATCGAGGCGTGGGATGAGGGCCACAGGGGTTGCAGGTTTTGGGGTTTAGGGTTTAGGGTTTAGGGTTTAGGGCTTAGGGTTTGGGGTTTAGGGTTAGGGCTTAGGGCTTAGGGTTCGGGTTTAGGGTTTAGGCTTCGGGTTTTGGATTGATGGTTTGGCAGCTCTAGGACTTTTGGGGCTCACGTATTCAAGCTTCAGTTAGATCTAGCCAATACGACAATTCCGAGACTTTGAAGAGAACTTGTCTCCCCTGCAGCCTCGCAGCCGAAAAGACGTAATAGCAAGGTTTTTGTCTTAGACCAGTGAGACTATCATTCACCCGGACACCTTGTTCTACTCGTCATTCAGTCCCACTTCGTCCATCTTTATTAAACCTGAACCCTAGACCCTAAACCCTAAGCCCTAGACAGCCATAGACCTCCCGAGACCACTCTCTCCGTTGCAAGCCCCAAACCCCGCTGGAGGACGACGAGCGCCGGGATCTGGAGGTGGGGACCCTCTGAGTCCTGGTTTCTTTTCGATGCGGGCTTAGGGTTTAGGGTTTAGAGTTTCAGCTTTGGGCCGAGGGAGGCGAGATATGTCTGAATGTTCTCTGTCAGAGTGATCGGACAGTTAGTTACGCCGCATGGCATGTATCTTGAATCTACCTCATGCTTCATCATCTTATGTTCCGTGAACTGTATTCAATCAGCGTCTGCGCTACGACTGTACGAATTGTTTGCGCAGTACAGGCGTCACCGCAGTGAATGTTGACAGGTGCAGGGTTATACTCGATGTATAAATGGTTGTTGCGCCGGTGAATAGCAAGGAGGCAGTGCTTGAGCTTGTTCAGATCGAGTCTTCAGATAGTTTCAGGCAGCAGACCATGGGCCCTAGCCGGCGCCGTCATCATCATCGCCATCCGGTCATCACCACAACCATCCTCTCGTGAGCATTCAAAGAGCTCCGAATGCAATTGCAATCTTTGCAGTCTTCGGCGCTAGCAGCACAGGCGCTAACACTCAGAACTCACCAGTGTAGAACCCACGCTAAGGTGACGCTGTACGTCTGGAGGGAAGAGTTCCTGGATGGCATCACAGGCCACTTGAAAACTTCAAAGGGATGGACGGCTTCTTTCCATGTCGCACATGAGAGCTCTATGCTGCTTCGGGGTGCTTCAAGCCTGTGGCTAGATGTTGCAGCCATGTCCTTTTTCATGGTTCCCCCAAAAGACTAAACAGACCGGCTAGTAGACCTTCTTAAGTAATTCCTACTCAGGGATAGAGGTATAGGGATCTGTCTATTATTTCTAAAGGAAAAGGGTGAGATGTTGAGCAGGAACGCATTGACTGGACATGATCGTTTTTGTCGGGTGTTTGGGAAGCTTGGCACCCTGTAAACTTACGAGCGCACAGTGCCAAACATCTAGCCGGCTGGCGAACATCAAATGATCAACCGCAAGCGAGCAGAATTTCTTCGGTAATGAACATCGGACATGCATTGAGGGTGCACCTCCTCATCGGCATGTGGGAATGGTTTACTCTGCCTATAAGAGCCCCCGAGCTCTGCCTTTGTGCCCTGGGAATGCACAGGTGCATGCAAGCTGCACTGAGTACTGCAAGCTTCTAGTCCAGAAGCTCTTCTTGCAGCTATCATGCAGAAACCAGTTCATGCCTCACATTTGCATGAATTACAGTGATAGTGCAACAGTCTCCATACAGCGGAAACATGACTTACAGAAAAGGCTTTTAACCTGCTGCCCTCAAACCAGCGATCACACAAGCTGATAGCCAATCCTGATAACCGCAGTCGCGTACATAGCACCCACCTTTATTTCGACAGCTCTTATTCTCCCCAGTCGCAGCCAGTGTCATAGTGATCATGATGGCGGCTGTCATGGCTGTAGTGATTGTGCACTCTGCTTCGCCTGAACACAATCGGCAGTTCTCGACTTGGGACTCTCGGGCGGGAACCCCCGAGGGTCCCTCTTCTACAGAATTTGTCCCACCCTCACCCTCAACTGCATCACAAACAGAGGAGCACAGAGAAACAAACACTACCCTAAACCCCTAAACCCCTAAACCCTAAACCCCTAAACCCCGACACCCCTAAACCCCTAAACCCCTAAACCCGAAGCCCGAAACTCCTAAACCCTTAAGCTCCCGTGTCTGACTCAGATGATGACTGGTCGATCGAGACCTTCGAGGTGTGGAGTGGGAGCTAAGGAGAGACGGCTAATGTAGGGGCGAAAGCATTGCGAGGTCACTTTTGTGTTGCTTTCTTTCTTTTTCAGGGGAGGGATGGGGGGGGGGGGTTGAAAACCAAGTAGAGCTGGGCATTTGGGCATGTATCCGGTTTTGGAAGGTTGTCCATGGGGGCTTTGGCAACCATGAGGGCTTTGGCAATCAGAATGGGGCTTTATCGGTCTCTCTATATCATGGGTCTAACGGGGGGCTGTCAGAATGAGCATGAAAGGCTCGGGGTCTAGGATCCAGGGGAACGAGCATAGTCATTCGTATCTGGAAGGTCAACAGTGATGGCAACTTGGAGAAGAAGTCGAGAATATGCCCGCGGTGTCCTGTAGCACTGTTATAACTTATGACCAATTCAATGCTAATTTTATTCGCTAAGGCTCCAGCCAAAATCAAAAGCAATGCAGCGAATCTACGGCCGAAAGCGTCGCCCACTGTATGTCTCTTTTCCCTTCCCGAGATGAACTGCTTGCGCCCTTCGAAAATCGCGTCTTACAACACCAACACCACCAAAACCCCAAACCGTTATTCCCAAACCCTAAGCTCTCAACACTGCATCCCCAAAACCTGCCCAAAACGCCCTGAGCCCGTATATAACTTGCAGAGCGAGGCGGAGTGGCTGCCAGAGTTCGCGCTTGTCTGTGCGCGCCCGAAGACTTGCCGTTGTTGCGTTTGGGTTACAGTAGAAGCCAGAAAGTTGGAATATCATTATCGTAACCCCTTTAAGGTAAATTATAGGGGATCCTACCATTTAGGCCCCCAGGCTTTGAAGATTAAGCTTTCAATTCGGCTTCAGGTCTGCCTGACTAGGCCTGGGGGTCGGTTTCGGTCTTTGCTGGGCATGTGACGTGTTGATCTGGGAGTTTCCGAAAATAGGGGACCCTAATATGGCACCCTAAATAGTAGGATCCTTATTATAAGGACCCCAAAATAAGGTACCCCTAATTTTCGGAAACTCCCATCTTAGTCCGGGCTGAAGGTGTTGGGTCCAGTGTCCAGAAGTCCGGTGTGGTTCGACCTGGGCGGAACTGAGTTGAAGTCACAAGATGTTCATGACGCAGGCCACCGTGTCTGTGCAAACTTAATCATTACCTATACTACTTTGGGGGTTCCCTGTTCTAATTAGAGTATAATGGGCCCTAAAACCCTATCTTAGCAGCTTCTCACCACCAGCTGATTCAGCGGAAGTTGCCACGGTCAAAGCTTTCGACTCCTTCCCCATGTTGTGATTTTGTGCCAAGGCCAAGACATGCGCGAGCATCACAAGACGAACAAGCTCGGCGACGAGGTTTGTCCCCAAACCTTAAACCCTGAAAACGGCAGACGGAAAAGAGGGTTCAAAAAAAAAAGAAAACACCCTAAACTTAACCTTGTCGCAGCAGGAGTTAAAGTGGATCAGCAGCACTAAACAACACCCTAAACCCTCAACCCTACACCCTAGACCCTCAACCATACACCCTCAAACCACACCCCAAGCCCTATACCTTAAACCTTATATCCTGGATGACACGCACAAATCGAGAAGTGTACCAAGTTAAAAAAAAACCTGAATTCCCCTCGAGCGCTGGGGGCTTTAGAGAAAAACGGGACTCGTTCCAGGAACTCAAGGAGACGCTACTCGTGGGCCGCCGATCTCAGCCACGGGCTCGCAATTTTAGCGTTTGTAGGCTTTGATGGGTTTGGGGTTTACTTTAAAATGTAGGGGTTGAAGGTTTAAAGGGTTTAGGGTTTAAGGGGTTTAGGCGGTTTCGCGTTTCAGTTTAGGTTTTAGTGGTTTAGGGTTTAGGCTTTGCAGGTTTCGGGGTTTACTTTAGGATTTAGGAGTTTAGGGTTTAAGCTTTGAGGGGTTCAGGGCTTTATGTTAAGTGGTTCAAGGTTTAGGCTTAGGATTTAGTTTAGTCTAGACGACCTTGGCTGAGTAGTTTGAGTAGTTGCGTTGGTAGGCAAGCTCTGTCGCTTGCACAATCCTGCGCCAACTAGGCGTAGGCATTAAGGACTTCGGCTGCAGATTCTTGCATGTCGGGATGTTAGTGATGGTGGAGCAATTGTTTGTCAGTGCAGGCTCTGTGTGGGTTTTGGGGCTGGGGGCACGTAGGATGGGGCATGCAGAGCTCGTCTTGGTGCTACAGTAGCTGCAGAAGGGCCTCTGGTTCATGTAGACGTTTGAAATTAGCATGGACACTGCTGCTCTCCCTTATCCAATGTAGTGCCATCGTCCTGTCTGCTTGTGGATGTCTACCCGTGGCGCGATTCGTGGTTCCGATGTTCGTGACTCAGGAAGTTCATTGGCGAGGATGAGCCCGTCCTGGACGCTGCCTCAGACAACAGGGTTTTGGGGGCCAATACACTATAATTAGAATAGGTAACCCCCAAGAAATAGTACAGGTAATTATTAAGGCGCTGATATTAGCGGTTTTGGGGGAAGGTGCTGTCGCTTGAACTCTTGAGCCCGTGGGATGTGAGATCTCAGCCTCAGTCCTTTGCAGTTCCCTCAAACAAGCTCAGACTCCCCCCCCCACCTTAAACCCAACGCCTGAAGCTTTTGAATCGAGACTTGTAAACGCTCCCATCAGTTTTCACGTCCTAAGTCGTGCATAATGTCAGGACGACTAGACGCCTGGTGCCGGGGCTCTCTGAGCCATCAGAATCCGAATGATTCTCAGCCCGGGATTTAGGGCCTTTAGAGGATGCGATATAGTGCTTACTTGTAGCCGTTGTAACCGAACTTGTAACTCCAGAATCATGTGGCCTTTCTACAAGGCAGAGATTGCTGTGTCTGTTACCAATATAGCTCGTACCGTCATCATATGATGTCAGACCCTGGCTCCTAACCCTAAACCCTAAACCCTAAACCCTAGACCCTGGCTCCCACCAAAAGCCCTAAGCCCCCAAAACAGCGCGAACCCATGCCCCGACGACACCGCGAAGCGGAGTGCTGAGGGCAAAAGGATGCTGAGAACTACCGGCGTTTTGTATCCGTTGGGATCTGGGAGTTTCCGAAATTAGGGGTACCTTGTTGGGGGGTCCTTATAATGAGTCTGGGAAGGGAAGGGCGGTTCGAAGCTTTTTTGGGGTTTAGGATTTGGTGTTGTCGGGTTCAGGATGCTCGGGCTTTCGGACTCCGTGTTTTGAGGGCTTGCTTTCGGCATTCGAGTCCTATCATTTCCGGCTTTCACAGGTTTGTATGATAGCATAGGAGCATGCATCTTGCACCGATTTGTGCTATCAACATGCATGGTCATTGGGAAAAACGAGCAAGCCACAGTCGCAGAAGTCTGTACATGATGTTCACGTCAGTACTCATGTTCTTGCAACCCTTGACTGTGAGATCATCGGCAATACCAGGTGTCGCATTGTCTCTTCCCCGATGTACCTCTCGGGACCACTTCCCCAACGGGAAACCCAAAGCCCAAAACCCTAAACCCAAAACCCTAAACCCAAAACCCAAAACCCAAAACCCAAAACCCTAAACCCTAAACCCTAAACCCGGCTGGGTTCAGAGCGGACGTTGGGTTGGGCTTCCTGTTTTGAACTCAAGAGGTTTAGAGTTCTCAGATCCAGGAAGGGCAGGAATTGTGCTTTTGGTTTTCTTTAGCGGCTTCAATGATTCGCAGTGGTGGTAGAAGTAATTAGGATTATATAAATATATAGCATTGGCAGGAGCAGGGAGAGTATGCTTTGGGGCAGGGTGGGGAGCAGGCAGCACAAAATTTCGACACTGAGTAACCATACATAACCATACCAGCAACTTCCATCGAAGCTCGGCGTGCAACTTTCAGGGCTTAAGATTTCCCCAAGCCCCACAGCGCCTGTAAACCATGTTGCACCTCGCTGGCATCGTGGCTCTTGAAGCACAGAGCGCCAGACGCTAAACGACTCCTGCCACTCTCGCTCTTCCGTTGCCCGCTTCGCAATGGCACTGCCCATGAGGACGATGAAGGCCGCCATGCCACTTGGTCTACTATACTATACTATGCCATATCAAAAATTCACTTATACTGCATCACATAGTGGCCCCCATTCTATGCTTGAGACTAGCACGCATTTTAATTCTGAGCCAGACTGCCCGTTCAGGACAATCCTGTACAGGATTGGTAGGATGAAGCCACCGTAGCTGTCGTCGCCCAAACTGTTGGCTTGAGGTGTCTGAATTCTGAGAGTTGGGCCCAATCTTCCCGGACGGTTGTTGCAGAGGTTTAAGCCCGGTGTGCTTGGAGGATCATGGGATTTAGTAAGTAGGGCTATAAGTATCCTTAATCTAATTATAAGTATAGCTACCTTAATTGTAACCCTAGTTACTAAGTCCCATGACCCTTTGAGTAGGGTTTAGATGACTTCAGCCTCGTTTCCTGCCACTCACTTTCATGTGGCCTTGATCTGACGTCACACGCCGCGCATGAACCTCTGCTAATTTTGGGGCAGTTTAGGGTTTGGGGTTTGGGGACACGCCATGCATGAACCTTGCTAATACTAGGGCAGTTTCCAGGAAAAAATTCTAAGTATTAAGGCCCCTAAGTTACGGTCTCGGCCACAAGGAAGTCGATGAAGGCTATGAAGGCCATGAAAGCTATGAAGGCGATGAAGGCACCGGGGGAGCAGGAGATGAAGTTCTTCCTACTTAGAACTGATCGGGTAGTTTGTCTGTCAATGTTGGTGATACTGCCACGCTCAGCGTCGAGTACAGGCGCCCTACTCGTGGGTGTCACAGTTCGAGGTTTGCGACCACCTTTTATATGCTCTGGGCTTAGTTTGGGATTGGCGAAGGATGGTTTCAGCTCGGGGGTTGGGTTTCTAGCTGAGCCTGACTGGCGTTTGCAGAGGTGTGAACGAAGATGGGCATGACGATGATGCAGCGGTGATCTTGTTGTTGATGATTTTGCTAGCATGGTCGACATCGAAATCATCACCGTCATCGTCAACACCATCATCACCGGCGTCAACATGTAAGTATGGGCCCTAAACCCTAGATGCATCTAGATGCCAACCTTCCACTAATGGGGCCTTAGCCAGCAGAACAGTAATCCCTAGATTATTACAACTCGCCGTTGAAGCGGGTGTGAGATTGTCGGTGGCTTCCTGTCACTCGGAAGCGATACTGCGCCCAGCATGGAATCCTATACACTAGACGCGAGTTTCAGAAGTTTGGAGACCAATACAGACCCTAAGTGGCAAAATGCTGATGGAAAGCACTTGACGTACCAATACCGAACGCGTCCTCCCATTTTCAAGAAGTTGCCCGCGCTGCTTGTTCATCCCGATCAGGCAATGAAGGCGATGAAGGCGATGAAGAAGGTTCCTTGGAAGTACCAGCAGGGTGTCGAGACGTGTAGGAAGTCCCTAAACCCTGTATCCCAAACTCCAAACCCGAAGTCCTAAACCCTGCACCCAGTTCTCCAACACAATCAAGGAAACAGAGCTCACAAGGGCAGGCCGAGTTTTCATGGCAGCAGGTCGTGATTATGGTTATGAAGATCGCATTCAGGGCTTTGAGGTCAGGGATTCGGGCTTGGAGTTTGGCATTTTGGCGATGATGATGATGATGACGTCGATGAAGCGGGTTGTGGAAGACTGAAGGACGCAAGCAATTGGACAGGAAGAAGAAGTTCCCAGAAATGCCATGTTACGGTGACATAGAAGATACGAAAGATCGTTAAGATATGTTAGGATGCTCAGGCCGGTTGTGTTTGTCAAACCCGAGGCAGGGGGTGAGGGAGAAACAACATCGACATAGGTAACGTCGTGTCAGCATTGTCATATTATGTTTGATACCATCTGATATATCTTAAAATTAGTATTAGCCATATTGCATTAATAGGTTGTTGTATTTCATGGTGGGTGCCAACAATACCGAACGCCGAGTGACAGTAACATGTCTACCTCGCCTGCCTCGTGGTCCTGTTTGCCGAATCTCTCCAGGGAAATTCCCAAATATTTCGGTGACACAGGAGGCGGAAACATGTGAGTGTTGTTTTGACAGATCGTGAATCTGAATCCTCTCTGGTTCAGCTAGCCAAGGTCAGCGTCATCGCCAAGGCCACATGCTTCTGCTTCTGACCGGGGGAGAGTGGCTAGTTCTGAGCTTAGGGTTCAGTGGTTCAGGGTCAAGGGTATTTGTGTCATACAGATTTTTACAACAGTTCTTGTTACTGAGGCTGTTCTGTTGTTTCAGCGGTGTCTCCAGGCTCCAGACAAGCGCAAAGCCAAAGTAAGGTCTTGAGCAATCACCAATACTATTCCTTTGGGTTCCCGAATATGATAACACTATACCTATAGTCTCCTTCGATTCTTTAATTTTTGTTCATATAAAACCCCAGAGAATATTGGCAATGTTATTATTTCTGTTATGGTTCTAAGGGGGGTATAGATAAATGAGCCTATTGAGACTTTCCTTTTGTTCGAGAGTGAGACCCTCACCCACAGGGAAAGCGCGCCAGAGCCTCCGTCTTCTCCGGCAACAAGGAGAAGACCTACACAGGCCGGTCCTTCGATCATGATACCCTAAAGCTTAAGCCTTAAACGCATGATAGGGAGAAAGGGGCGTCATTGCAGTTTGAAATAATCGTCTGATAGCTGTGATGAAATTCAACATGAGCCGGTTAATGCGTAGTACTCGTCGCACTGGTGCTGGTTTGGCTGGGAGCAGCAGTACTCCTCAAGCTTCGTCACTAGTCCCAGCCCAACTCGCTGCCAGCAGTAGCAGGACCAGCCGGAGTTGTCGTCGTAGTCACAGTAGTTGCATCAACAGCTGCTGTGGCAGCAGTTATGGTCAGAGCCATTGTCGTCATAGTGATGATTGTATTGACATTCGACAACAACAACCGCAACATCAAGTGAGGACTGAGACCATGAAGGTCCATCTAGTTTTGTTCTGCACCGACCGATTGGAAGCAGATGGGTACTCAACAATCTGATGACACATGCAGTCCTAAGCTGGGTTGCCCGGACCCAGAGCCTTCGGAGACGTGCACCTGACCCCAGGACTGAAGAAGGGCAGCCTGGCTGAGGACCAGCGAGAGTTTTCAGGTCCTAGCCTGTACAATACTCATCGTACGATGGTGACTGTTCCGATGATTCTTTCCGGCCTCATTGTGCGAAAGCCACGAAGATCGCCTTGATGCGTACTGAAAGTATCGATATTATTGTCGTCGTTGCAACCACCGAAACGATCAGCCTCAGTATCCGCCTCGGCATTCTCATTCTCATCATCATCATCATCGTCATCATCACCATCATCATCATCACCATCATAAGCATGAGCATCGTCGTCATCGTCCTTATCATCATCACTATCGTAGTCATCGTCAGTATCATCACCTTCCTCATCGTTATGTCCACCATCATCGCAATCGTCATCCCCTTACTGAAACCTCCTCTTCCTTATCAACTCCCTCATCATCACCATAACGATTGTCATCGCACCCGCTTGTTCAGCATCATCTTCGCAATTTTAGCGGCTCCAAGGTCGCGCAGTTTTCCTAGCTTCCCTGATCCGCTTCAGATGCCGAGAATTCTTGCTTCCGTTGCGTTAGGAACGCCAGCGGCTGTAGACTTCGTGCAATCATCCCACAGACAACTCGATCTGGGGATTCTGAGAGCTTCTGGCCTAGTTGAGAAGCGCAGGTGCTGCATCGTCCTCTGGACCAGATTGCTTGAAGGGTTGGGCAAGGGGACTTGCATGGAACCCAAACCAAGAGCTGCCTGGAATAGCAAACTGATTTTCAAGGGTATCTGTACCCTGGCCTCTACTCTCCACCCTCATTTTCAAGGTTTGTACCCTGCTGTACACCCTCAGCTCAACGCAACAAAGGTGACCTTATGAAGAACAAGCGTGGCAAGATCGTCTCCAAGAAGTCCCACGCCTCTGGCAAGTCGCTTCTTGGTGAGGTTTCAAGTCACAACTGTGTAAGGGAATCCGCGGGACCCCGTAGACCCTAACACTTGACCACCTCCACGCCTCCCCGCTCGATCCCAGCTCAAGCAGTGTGATTGTTTTGTTTCTTGCGTCGCAGCCTTTCGTCGTTGCGACGATTCGTTGACGCAGCATTGTTGCTAGAGTCTCCTGGCCCTCAGCCCCAAACCCTAAGCCGCAAACAGCCACGATGCCTGAAGCCTGAAACTGCACAGAAGAAAGTTTATGCCTTGAGCCGATGCTTCAGTGATTCAGTGCACGGAAGTCTGCAGCCAGCCCAAGCATTACGTGCCTGAATCTCGGTCCCCCTGCCAAAACGAAGGAGTTTCGGGCAGTTTGTTTTGGGACTGCCATTTAAGCCTTACTACTACGGGGCTTTAGACGTGCCGGCTTTCATGTGCTTCTGAAGCACATCAGCATCGTCTCAACAGAGAGCCCGTGTGGGGTTGTGATTCTGCGTCCTCGCATGCAGGACATCTCACAGTATATAGTCTGCTGTAGGGTCTGGGGTTTGGGGTACCTTTTTGGGATATTCCTTACGTGGTATTGTCAGATTCCAGCAGACTCCTGATCCCTACTACTACTACTACTACTTCTTCTACTACTACTTCTTCTACTACTACTTCTACTACTACTAACTACTGCTACTACTACTACTACTGCTACTACTACTACTACTACTACTGAGCCCTGAACCAAGGAGCTACAAGAAGATCAAGGGTTGGACTGAGGCATGCCAGCAGGCTTGGGCCGTGGTGGATCTTCTCATCAGTCAGTCTGGTTGTTCGTGGGTTTTTTTCAGCATCCTACTTTGTGGAGGAGTGTTTTTTAGTCTGGGGCGGGTGTTATCGACCCAAAGCACCCTGGGACCGAATGTTCTGAACACCCAGCCTTACAATTCAATAACCTAAGCCCTAAACCCCGAAAGCCCCAAACCTCAAGAGCCCCACCCCGCAAACTTCCACAAGCCTAACCTCGACAACCAACATGCAGCAGTATGCGATCACTCCCACAGGCCGCTCCAGGCCTGCCCAAGCGCTGGAAGCTATCCACTCTGGCTGATCGGATTTCCATCAACGAAGATCGACTCAAGAACTCTATCTAGTTGCTCCGGTAGTCTGCCCTTTTATCATGGGTTTCCATGTCGAAATAGGTTGTCCGGAAAAAGGCTACGCTGGGGAACCTGGTTTTGGTGTTTCCAGGAAGCACAAAGACAGATGTCTTGAGCGAGGCGATGGGAAGTAAGACCTCTCAAGTCAGCCGTAGGTTGCAACAGCAGCCCAAGTAGTCTCGGGGACCGCAGATGTGCTCATATGGGAGTTTCCGAAAACAAGTGGTACCTTATTTTGGGGTCCTTGTAAGAAGGATCCTACTATTTAGGGTACTATATTAGGGTCCCCTATTTTCGGAACGCCCATACAGGCCCGCAAAGAGCTCGGCATCAAGGGCTTCTGCGCTATCGGCGGAAAGCAGCTCGGTCGCTTTGGCCGTTTGCATGCGCCTGAGTGGTTGGTTAAGCCTTGTTCAAAGGCATGCTTTAGAAGCTGCCCCCACCCTGTAATAGTGGTATAATAGGAATATGATAGGGCCCTAATATAATCCTATATAATCCTTATAGTCACTATTACAGGGTGGGGGCAGCTTCTAAGGCATGCTCATGATCATCGCCAAGCCTCGCATCATCAGCATGTCATCAGCCATACTTACTTCAGTACCATGACCAACACAACAGTGTAGTAGTGGCATGCAGTGGCACTTCGTTCGCATTCGTCGTCGTCATCGTCGCCGCCATCATCGCCATGATTGTCGTCTTCGTCGTCGGCGTCGTCTTCGTCGCCGTCACCGTCGTCGTCGTCGTCGCCATGACGACGTCAGTAGTGTCCCGTCTGAAGCATGTGGCATGAGAGGGAGCCGATTTTGAAAGGCCTCTGTAGTCTGTTTCGCAGTTTCTGCCCTCACTCAACCATGCTAGCCAATGGCGACATGCACGTTCCTGAGGGGTACTTAGAAATGTTTTTTTAATTTCTGGTTATTACAATCCCTAAGAAACGCATGGAAAGAGCATCGAAATGCAGGTTCTTGATAGCCGAAATAGGGAGTTTAGAAAGCCTGTTGAGGGCCCTGCCCAACCCTAGACCCTAGACCCTAAACCCGCAAACCCTTAAACCCCAAACCCTAGACCCTAGACCCTAAACCCGCAAACCCTTAAACCCTAGACCCTAGACCCTAAACCCGCAAACCCTTAAACCCCAAACCCTAGACCCTAAACCCGCAAACCCGTAAACCCCTTAAACCCCAAACCCAAAACCCAAAACCCTAAACCCTTAAGCTCTTAAGCCCTAAACCCCAAAACCCTAAACCCTAAACCCCTAAGCTCTTAAGCCCTAGACGCTCCGGACCCTCCAAAAGATGTCCCTGCAGCCCGAGGAGTGCACAGGGCAAGGCGCTGACCCTTGGCTGCTCCCGGAGGGCCTAGGAGTGTGGGGTTTAGGGTTTGGTCTAATGGGGTTTAGGGGTTTAGGGTTTGGGGGTTTAGGGATTTAGGGTTTAGGGTTTAGGTCTAATGTAGAATCGATTTTTAGGGGTTTAGGGTTTAGGGTTTAGGTCCAATGTAGAATCGGATTTTAGGGTATACTGTAGAGCAATTAGGTAGGAAGTGTAGTTATGTGATGGAAGCCATACTTTATTGTTGGAATAGGTTTTGGTGGTATGTTGTGCTGGAGCTAGAAAGAGGTCCAACGTAGACTAGGGCTTGTTATGGGATACTGTAGAGCAATCAGATAGGGACTACGAAGGGATAAGTGTAGAATAGGGCTTTAGAGCATTGTGCGAGTAATTAGTTTCAGACCCCTAGATTGGGTGTTTCTTGTTGCTGTTTGAAGATGAAGCTGACTCTGTTGCGATACAGGGAACAGGCTTGACCAGGATCGTCACCATCAGCATCCTGACCATGAGTATCATGACCAACATCATCATCATCATCATCACCTCTGCCGCTGACATCATCCGGAGCACCATGCTCAACATCAGCATGATGATGATTATCATCGTCATGTTCACCGTTACCAGGACGTTACCATATTTGGCATGTCATTGTCGTGATTCTCGTCGCTGGCCCCCGGAAATTGTCGTCGTTGTCGCCTTTTGTACTTTGCAGGCATCATCATGTACTTGAGCCTACATGGACCTGGCCTTTATGCACATGAGAACTTAGAAAGCAAGACAACTTGACAAGGACGGCCCACAAGTCCCGTTGTACATTTAAATACCCGGCAACTTCACTTCCGTCTCTGTGCACTAGGCAGACATGAAGGACGGATTGGATCCTCGAAAGATACCCCCGACATAGAAGCGTTCCCCAGGCTCCTTGCTTTTCTAGGGTATAAAGATTCAGGGAGGCGACCAAAACTGTCCACCCGAAATCCTGAACCAGTGTTTAGATGGTTGCGGAGAACTCTACCAAAGCAGCCCAGCTTATAGTGAACCCCAGAAGTGGGAACATGAATGTAGGATGATAAGTGCTAGGATTCCCCTACTTTACCCTAAGGGAATGAGTCAATGAGGATACCGATGTTCCAACTTTCTGGCTTCTACTGTAGAGTTAGAGATATCTGCCTCGCTCTGATGAATTTGAGTGGACTTTGCCCTGGATCCTCTCGCCCTGAGTTGAAGGTTGCGTTACAGATACACCATGCCTTAAACCAGAAAGGCGGTCGCTTTCGGCATTCTCATCTTAAAGACATCTACAGCACTAGTGGGAAGGGCCAACAGCGGCTCTACTTCTAGTTTCGTATGAGACTTTTGGTGTGGAGCCCACAGACTGAGTCAGCAAGAGGTGCACAGCATAAAAATCTCTGCACGGCAAACATCCGTACCCACACATGTCGGGGTCTTGCTTCATGCAGCTGTCAAGCCGAGGTACGCCAAGGCTAAGCCGCTTGGCGGCAGAAGAACGAGAGAGGTGTTGCTAGGTGACCGAGGTTGATTGTAGGAGTGAAGTATTATGAGAGCTGAAGGCCTAACTGAACGGTATTTCCGATCTGGAAGACGTTGGGTAGCAGTCCCTGGAAGTTTGAGTCACGGGGTTGCGGTTCGGAGGTGCGTTAGTCAAGTATGTCTGTGGGCCGTAGGGATGGAAGTAGTTGTAGGGGTGCTGCTGCTGGTGGTGGTGTTGGTGGTGGTGGCGGTGGTGGTGATGATGGGTGCTGGCCGCGGTGCTGGTAGTACGCCTAGTACGCAGTAGCGACTCAGTAGCGTTCGTCGATGTAGCAGCAGGCTGCGGTGGTGGAGCAGGTGGTGGCGACAGCCGTCGTCGTCATCTGGGGTTTGATGAAAGGACAAGAAGAGCTGCGACAACAGCAGCAACAAAAAGAAGCACAATCACCCGGGAGCTGGGGACCTGCTATCGGTGGACTGCCCAATTTCTCAAAGCTACGAATTCTGCTAAGGTCCATTTATGCGGCATGAGCTGCTGGTGATCCTGGCCAAGTCGTTTAAGAGCCTGCGCGATGCTAAGTCAAGCAGGCTGCATTTTGGTTTTGCAGCACCCGGCTGGACATGTCTTGCGTGACATCTCGACCATCAAGTTTGAGTAGCAGCGTGCGTAGTTAGCAGCACACCCACAAATTCAGGCAGAATATTGCAGTGTTCTGAATTACGAACTACTATAGTTACCATCGACTAGCAGATCCTAGAACCCCCTTCCAACGATTAAGGCCCTTATACTAGAGAACCGTGTTGGCTCGCGGCCTGACCCGTGGTCCGACAGTGCAAGCGCTGCGCAGCTCGGGTGTCTGACATGAGGGAGCGAAACTCACAACCGGAACTACCCCATTCGGGGAGGTTGTATGAACATCCGTTGGCAAGCTGGTGCCATGCCGCGAGAAAATGCAAGTGCGCGCTGCAGGCAATGTTCCCGTCGGTTTTTGGGGTGGCCCTGCCGCAGAGATCATCCGTTTCAGAGCTTGGTTCGGGTTCGGTGGTTTGGAGCATGCTCGATTAGGAAGGGTCGTCAGCATTCCTTTCTCTGCGTGATGGCTCATCCATGAACTGTACGTTACATCTGAGGGCTGCATGCCAGAATCAGTTGAGCGACTTCTGCACGTGAAGTCTCGATCTACCTTGATACCGATTACGTAGCCAGAACACACTCTTTCCAAAGGCATCTATCCAAGGGAAGAGGCGGAAGTTGGACCCATTCTGCTTCGTGCTTCGAGTGGATCTACTTGGCTGCCCAGATGATGCAAAAATTGGGTGCCGAGGACTTTCGCGAACAATGCATGCACCTGGCCAACCTTTGCTTGCAGACGACCAGGCAAGTCGAAGAGATTCTGGTGGCGGATGGTGTTCCCACTGCGATCGTTTCCGAAGAGCCTGGTGGAGACTTCTACATCCTTGAGTCAGGGACTGAAGCTGAGTCTGGGGCCATTACAGCTCCAACCCGCACTGCAGACCTGCGAGATGCCTTCGTTGATAGTGCCACGCATGCAGAACCACGTGAGGTACTTGTCGAGGATCCGTCAGTGTTTCTGCAAGAACCGCGAGAAGGCCGGACGTGGGCTTAAAAGTTGAAAAGCAATGCATCACTGTTTTGAATTAGTTGTTAGCCTGCGCACTTCTCGCTCGTGTGGCTAACAAGCCCTGCTCGCTGCTGTGCTTATTCGCGATTGCCTACCTCTCCTCAGGTTGTTGGCAAGCACACACTTTCCAGTTCTCGCAAGGGGGGTTGTTCATGGTCAGACTGTCGGAGGGTCTCAGGTTTTTAAGCTGTTGGCGTGACTGTACGAGTGTAACACTTCACCGATTTCACCGATACTTTGAACACCGGAGATCACCGGAGTCTTGGTTGAGAGTGGCTGCTGCGTTGTTGATACCCAGCTGTCCAGGTCAACTTGTTGCACGAAGGCAAAGTCTGGAGAGTCAGTTGCAACAGATGAGGGCGGAGCAGGCGGGCCTTTCCCTCGCAGAAACGCTGCATAAGCTGGGCTCTGCACTTCTCGACGAGAACGAAACCTGCCAGGAAAGGGAGGAAAGCCAGATTCACGACGAGAGGGAAGCTCAAGATGCCAGACAGGCGTTGGAGTACTTGCACCAGAGCTTGCAGATAAAGAGCTGCTTGCACGAAGGGGCGGATGGGCTCAGCATAGCTCAAACGTTGTATGAGCTTGGCCGCGCAAGCAGCATCCTCAACTTTCCAGAACAAGCCAAGCGGTACTTTCTCGATTCCTACATGATGATCCGGCACCTGCACCGTGGCGATCGCGAAGTTCTTGTGACTTTGTACCGCCTGGGCAACGAGCATTTTCTGTCCCGGGACTTCCGGGAAGCAAAGATCGTTCTGGAATTGGCTTTGAGTTTGGCAGAAGGCCTCTGGCCTGGTTACTTAGATGGCTCCGACGAATATGACAGCGACCCTTCAAAAGCACAAGACCGAGGCCATAGGCCGCAGGTCTGCAAGCAATGTGCACGTAGCGCATGATTCTGGACTTAACTTGTGTTGACATGCACCATGCTGCTTCTCTGCGCAGGAGATCATCGCAGCAGGCGACGATTGGGCAGACAACTTTCGGGAGGTTCTCCGAGGTCGCGACCTGGAGTTCTCCCGCATTCTGACTGCTGCGGGTAGGCCCTTGACAGTTCTCCCGTCAGCAGACTCCGCCGACTTGGTTGGTGCACCTCGCCCTGAAGATTTTCCGTTGAGAGCGTGGCTCAAGGCGCGCTGTGGCCTCCAAGAACGCTTAGGCGTTTTCGGGCATTGTAAACCCTGGCAATGGCATTCTGAAAGCTGTGCATCCCGGTGTTGGACTCCTGATCCCCTGCGGCCCAACTTTGGCCCTACAATGTAGGGCCAAAGTTCGGCCGCAGGGGATCAGGAGTCCAACACAGCGATGCACAGCTTTCAGAATGCCATTGCCAGGGTTCACTGTCATGCAAGCTCAACTTGATCTTTTCAGGCTGCACTCGTTCGTTCAAGATTGAATCTTGCAATGCTGTCAGGGTCCCGGCAACGCAGACCGTTGGACCATCACATCTTTGCTCCGTCTTTCTGCACAGTGTGCCTTACGGATGAGCTTTTATGCTACTGCGAGTGCTACTGCGAAAGTATATCTTCAAAAGTCTCCCCTGGTGGTAGGCTGTCTGGAAGACGACAAAGACAAGAAGTCCAGAGCAGACACATTGCATGAGCTAGGATCTCTTCGCCTTTTCTTCGTCTCGCGCACCGGCTTGCAGGATGCAGTCTGCTTGCTTCAGGAAGCATTATGCATCAAGGAATCTCTGTATAAGGACCAAGACCATGTCAGCGTCGCGAGGACTTTGGGCCTGCTTGGTCAGGCCACCTTTTATGCCGGCAAGCTTGACTGTGCCGCGCGTTTCCTCATACGTCTTTGGACATGTACTGTTCACTTCGACACCATTTCCGTGGTTCGGACACGTTCCTATCCCTTGGCATGAGCCAAGAGGATCAAAGGTGTTTGTGCATTTTGCGGAAGTATCTCGACATGCAAATGGTGCCTTACAGCCCTTCCGAAATGCGACGCATACACGCGACGTTGTCTCAGATACGTTCTCAACTGCCAAGATTTCTGCATTGTCCGCTGCACAGGACGGAGCTGTCCGCGGCTCTTCAGATTTTCTTTTGCCTTAGCCGTCTGTTGTCCGAAATGTCTGCTCAGTCCATGGCTCGCGCGGTTGCCTTAAGTCTGGCCCTTCGAAAGACAGTGCTTCCTGCGGTGACGGGTCCAGACTACATCGCCGGCCTTCACACCTGACCCTCGGCTGGTGTCCCGGCTGCTGTCGTTTCCTTTTGAAGCTTTGGCACTGCTCTTGGGTCGTCTGAGATCTTGAACCTGTACAGCTGTAACAACATGCGCCTCAAAGCTGTAGACTCTCGATGCGGTTAATCCGCCAGTCCTGACTAGCCGAGTTCCATGGTGTTCGTGCTGAAGCCCGTGTCGGCATCTGAACGAAGTTCAAAATGTGTTATACCTTGGATTGCCTAGGCTTTGTGTCGGTTTGGCAATCAGACGGAGTCCAGGTAAGGCCCCAATGCCTTGTTGTATACCACGCCAGCTAGTTGATACGAAGTGGGAGACAACGGGCTGTCCAGGCGCATAAATCTGCCAGTCTGGCAACTCATGGAACCATTGCGCGACTGCTGGTTGAGTCCTGATTTGCGTTAGCTGGGTGCTGGTCAGATCTCGGAGGATTGGGTGTCGATGTTCTGTTTGTGTTGGAGAGTAGAAGTCTATGCAGAGCTCCTCTTCAATGAGCTGCTGCTGTGGGTGCTTCCTGCATGGAGCTTCCTGCACACCTCGTGGCTTGGCAACCCAGGGACAAAATAGAGATTCATGAGGCAAGTTCCAATGCAGCTAAGCAGCTATGCACAGAGCCCTCCGTACCTCAGACCATCCGAACACTCCTTGCCAAGTCCATCCGGCCAGCCTTGCAATCCCGAGTCACGATTTCTCTAAGGTCTCTTCACACCCAAACCTTAAAAAGTCTTAACTCTTAGCCCCAGGCCCAAGCCGAAATAAACCCCCACCCCCAAAGCTCCCGACTTCTTGTGTCTTGCGGGGGCACCTCCCAGCTTTGGGCCCGAGCCATGGATGGAGCCGACCCAGCCGGTTCTTGATGGGCCTCTTCGATGGGCTCGGGGAGCCCGGGGCCTTTGCTGCGGCAGCGTTGCTTTTTTGGGGGCTTCTTCGGGTGGGTATGGGATACAAGTCTGCCGTCTTTTTCTACAGATTTTGGGATGGTGTGTACTGCGAGACCCTAAGTCTTGGGCTCTTTTCCTTCAGCCCGTATATAGTATGGAGACTCGACGTCCTTATGATACTGAAACCGTGAGGAGCGGCTTATACACCCAGGCCGAGAAGTAGGAAACCATTTCTTGCATCGTCAGGATCGTAGTCCGATAGCTTCGATTCGAGGCTCATCAGTGACACCACCACAGTTTCCTGACCTTCAGAGCCCACAGGACCAAAATCAGCCTATAGATTACTCTACGCATAACGGTGATCCAAGCAAGCAACACCGACGTGATGGTAATTGCAACGCTTATCTGTGCTGTTGTTCGGTTGTTAGCATTGAGGTTCTTGCCAGCATTCACATCACAAGCCTCAGCAGTTGCCCCGAAGTTCTGCTGCACTGAACAACCTGTGCCCATGCAAGAGCGAGGCATGACAATCAGCAGCGAAGGGCGGCGATGGTCAGGTGGCCAAACCTACTTGCGCTCGTGCTTCTGATCATATCCGGTTTAGATTTTCCTAGTGCAACGGCTTTGGAACGAAACTTGCTGCAGCTGATGTACCCTCGAATTGTGCAAACCATCTCAAGACCCAACACCCGAGACTCCTCGCATCTGAAGCCTCTGGAGGGCTTAGACTCGACTCGTGCCGTCAACAAGCAGGGCCTTCCAGCCTGCAACATCTGACAGCTGCTTTAAGCCACTGAAGCCTCCGGATCCTCCTCTCCCCGCGGCGAACGAAAAAGTACCAAGGCTTCCGAGTTTCGAACTCTGAACCCGAAACCCAAAGCGCAGATGAGGAAGTCGTTGAGTCATATGCGATGTTGGCACAATGCAAACCAAGCATGCCATCTACGCCCACGCCATGGACACAGCTTGTCCATCACAGATGGACAAGTCTGCAACACTCGTTGAGCGATAAACAGTGGAAGGCTCGGCAGAGCCAGAAAAACTTCTGCGTGTCTTCAACTATGGTATGGATTCAGGTCACATGCCAGCACCCGGTGGCCGCCCCAACCCCTAAACCCTAAATCCTGAATCCGAAACATCAAACCCTCAACCCTAAGCCCTAAACTCTGAACCCTAAACCCTAAAGTTATGCCGGTTTGAGAATTCGACAGCCTTTTTCTTCCGGCAGGCGCCAGGCCCAGATGTTGGACGAGCCGCTTGCCCCAGCTGATCGGACGTGGCAGAGCCCTTTAGGTTTAGGGTTTGGAGTTTACCTTAAACTACCAAACCCTACTTTTTTGCAGGTTCTTATTATAAATCCTAATATGGAATTTATAGGGACCCTACAAAAAAGTAGGTTTTGGTAGGTTAAGGGAGGGTTAAGGGGTGTGTTTAGGGTTTCGGATTGGAGCCTCGAGCTGGTGATGAGCGTTTTTTTCAGAAAACTGCCTTTCTGCTCGAGGATGAAGATGAAAAGAGTCCTGTCCTTCTTCGCAACGTAAGCAAAGTGTTCCGGACGAAGGCAGGCGGAGGTTCATTGAAGCTGCAGCGACTGAAACCAATGATGCCAGCTTTCAGCTAGCAGCTAGCTTGCGATCACAGTTTCTGTCATGCTGACAACTGGTCATCGTTGATGTCCGTGGTGATAAAGAACGATTTGATGAAGGTGATGGGTGACTGTGACTGTGACGACGATGATGATTCTTGGCACTGCTGATGTTTGGAAAAATGATAATCTCATTAACAACGGCGATGAGAAAGACGTGGTACTTGTTGCTACTGCCATCGTCACTGTCAGCATTAGTATCATGTTCATGATCCGTGACAGCTGATTCGTGACCATGATGATCAACTGATCAACATCATCGGCATTTTCACGTCGTTTCCTCATGTTAGTAGCACGTGGTAAATTCTCGTCAAGGCGTGTTCACGCTTCTCTTTTCTGCTCACGCTGCTCCTGAGGCAGATCGCGGAGCGCGACATACGGCGAGCCAATCAGGCAGGTATCTACAGTTTCGGGTCTAGGGTTCTGTCAGCGCAGGCCTTTGGGGTTTGCTTTAGGTTGGCAGCTTCAGGTTTGTTCAGTTCCGGTGAGATGTAGGGTCGGATCTGATCCCCAAATCAACGGGACCCACCTGCTTTCTCCAGGCCAAGGCCCGTCAGAGAGAACTGCAGGAGGAGCGGGATCAGCCGGGGGCTCGGATGGAGTTCAGGAGTAAGGATTGTGGTGGACTCTGATGCACGGAGCAGTGATTTGGGCCCGTAAGCGGCTGCAACATACCACAAGGAGTTTTGCTTCTGACACAAGACATTTTTAGGAAAGGCCCAGACCCTATCAGGAGATGTAGTGCTGTTTGGAATTTAGCTGAGACACGTCCAAAGGAACCCCAATCAACTAGGAGCCTCAGCTAAGACCCCCTTCTGAACCGCGCCGAAACTCTTAAGGTTCCAGCCGAAGCCACAGCAGCTTCATGCCGCTCCGGCGCCCGTGCCGCAACATCTGCCTGGGGAGATGCCTCCCGGCGGAATTAGGATCCCTGGGTGGTTCAGAACCTGCGGCAACCTACAAGGAGGGGTGCCTGGTCATGCACTCTTTCTGGGGTGTTTTTGGGGTTTCAGGCAGTTGGACTTCTGAAGTGGTTGGATGTCGGGGTCCTGCATGGGGCGCTCAGTGGATCTGGAGCTATGCTGCAGTTCTCACGAGGGAGCCCCAGTCTTTGCTGCAACAGACACTGAGGCAGCAGCAGCTGCTACAGCAGCAGCTGCAGCAGCCACCTCCACAAGCGATGCAGCCACAGTGCGGCGCTGAGCTAGTGAGATGCTGTCAGGGTGCAGCAACATTACCAAGCAATGCATTTGCCATCGCCAGAAATGTCAATTCGAATGTGGTGTGCGCGTTAGAGTCGCCCGTGCTCAGTGGCTGCAATATCTTGGAGCTGCGAGGTCAGGGGATTCTGAGTAGACTCCAGAGCCTGCACCCCTAATCCCTTGGCTGCCTCTTGAAGCACTGTATTTACATCAAAGCTAAGAGGCACACGACTGTTGCTTTGCTCATATGAGACCAGGAAGGCAAGGCAAAACGTCCAGTTGCAACCATAGGAGCCCTCTAGAGGCGTGTTGAAACGCAGTAACTTTCATAGGACATACAGGCAGGATGCCGAAAGAACCTAAAGCTGTAGGATCACAAACCTCAAACTGACTCAAACTCAATGATTCGATTTATGCCCCCTAAGCCTAAACCCTAACCCCTAAACCCCTAAACCCCTAAACCCCTAAACCCCTAAACGCCTAAATCCCTAAACCCTAAGCACCAAAACCCCTGGCCCCCAAATCCCCAAATCCCTAAACCCTAAACCCGAATCCAGCCCTCAGCACTCGGAGCGAAGTTCAGTGACCCCGTGTGCTCTGGTAGCCAGCTCCTCCTCGCGACACTACAGCTGCCTTTAGAATTGTAAGGCAGACTCGGATCCCCAGTAGTACCTATATGTATGTATGTATGTACATATATATATATATATATATATAATATAACTAGATAAATAAACAAATAAATCAATGAAGAAACAAATATGTGTATATATATATATATATTTATATTTATATATTATACATATTTATATACATATATACAAGTATATGGATGGCTTATAGGGTTTATAGCTAGGTTCCCCAGCAGTACCTAGTACCCTTTTGCCCTCTTTCCTTTTGGGTTTTAGGAAACAGGGTACCCTTATTCATAAGGGGCTACTCAAAAACCTAGTAGATGCCAGAAGTGGCTAGGAAAGAGCTGGGCAGATAAGGACGGAGGAATGATGCAAACAGCTCCTATCGTCCTGCCCAGGTTTTCAGTTTCACCCCCAGCTTGGAATGCACCACGCCCGATGGATGCTTGGCTCAGATGTAAAGACTCGGGGGAAAACTAAACCGTAAATCTTGAGGGTTTGAAGTGAACACATCAACTGCATGTAACAACATGTTGTCAAGCAAGCTTCGGAGGGATTGTGCCTCTCGATTTATTGGCTTTCTCATTGTTGCCATTGCCTCACGGCTAGTCGAGGTTGGGCGTGCCTGTAGGATGGCAGACAATGCGCAACATACAGTCGTTTTGCGGAGGTGGGTTCATCAAGTTTCCCAAAACAGGGCCTGCAGCGTAGCATTTTGTGAGTTCGAAGCTGTCTTGTTCATGTGCGGTCGTGGTTTAGGGGTCTTTTCTCCAGCTTCCTCCTTCTGCCTTGCGGTGTTTGTCGTAGCCACTATAGGATCCTTAAAGGAGGGTGGTTCAAGGGGGGAGGGTATAAGGAATCCTTAGGGGACTGCAAGGGAACCTTAGGGAGAATAAGGGATCACTAGGCTATATACCCCCCTCGGACGCCCCTCCCTTAAGGATACTACAATAGCCAGGACCAAGTAACTGCCAAGATGTTCCAACCTGCTTTGGTTGAGCATGCATTGCCTTCATGGGACTGTTGGTTCAAGAAGCTGCGTATCTTCAGCAAAAAGGAGAACTTCCAGGTTGCTCCAGAGAGTGCAGTCGTCTACTCGTGTCTTCAGCCTTGCATGTGGTGTCAGGAAGCCTGGATAAGCAAACGGCATAAGCATAAGCAAGAACATGCGAATTGCTGGAATGGCCGAGGCTTTTAACCCCCTGCCGCAGGCAGTTCTGAAGCCGCGCACTGAGTGCTTCAAGCAAACCAGTCGTCAGACACTGAAGGAAGGCATTGTCGACAACCTTCGCCATCAGCTTGTAAATGTCCGAAACTTCCGAATAGACTTCAGCTGCCGGTGTGAGCAAGCATTAAACTGGTGATTTGCGGAGTCCAGACGCAGAGCAGAGAGAGAGAGAGAGAGAGAGAGAGTATTAGTCCTTTGTGGTTCAGATGTAACCCCAGACCGAAACAAGCAGAACTGACGCTGATGGTATGTAGTCCAGGTACCTGGGGGATCCAACTTGTACGGTTACAAGTGCTTTTTGACTGATCTACGATCCACCAGGGGAACTACAACCGCAAAACTTTTCACACTCCTCCAAAGTCCCCACAAAATATGGGGGGGCCCAAGTGGCCGGGGGGTCTTAACAGCCCCTCATGCCCGGCGGAAGAAGAGAGAGAGACAGACAGACAAAGCTTCCAGATCCTTTGTACTGCACCCCTCTAAACATGTTATGGGTGGTTGTCAAAATTGGAATCCCTTTTTGAGTCCCTATTGTAGTACGGCACCTAATTTTTGGGTGCCCAAAAAGGGACCTTAATTTTGACAACTGCCCATATGGATTCCGTCTAAGTCTAAACTAACTATTCCAAATTGCAATGCAGACTGCAAATCCTGCACACTCCATTTCCGCGCCCAGGCCTCCCCCGCAGCAGCCGTCCTTTCTGCAGCAGTTGCAGCATCAATTTCTGCCGGGGGCCCCAACAGGAGGAGGGGAGGAGGAAGATTATCAGGCTCTGGATCTGTTAAAGAAATTGTCCTTCCATCGCCGAACCTCTTAGCTCGAAAGCCCTCCGAACCCCAATTCCAGGTGCCATACCCACAAAACTAGCGAAAAGAAAGCCAAGAACCCAGCAGATCATGAGCAACGCCTTGAAACGCTATGTACACCCTCAAAGCCTCAATAGCCCTGTAACCCTAAACCCCGTAAAGCCTCTAAACCCTTAATGTAAACCCTTAAAGCCCTAAAGAATAAACCCTTAAAAAGCCTTGAAGCACCTAGCCAGGTATCAGCCCCTCCTTCAGCTCCCCGGTTTGCTGTCGCAGCCGCCGCAGCAGCAGCTGTCTGGGCCTCATACGCGCACGGGGCCTTTAGAGTGCAGCTTATGGATTTTTCAGAGATTTTGGAAGGGTTTTTGTTGGGTCACATTTCCTTGACAGGGGTGAAGGGCTTTGATTTGAGACGTAAGCTTCCCGAAAGCCTTGGCCCCTGAGGTGAACAGAACCCTCAACTCTTAACACTAGACCCTAAAACCCCCAAACGCTGCATCCGTTATCATCGAACCCTTTCAGTTCAACCGAGGAGGACGCGAGCCTGAAGAGGTTTTGCAGACGTAATGCTCAGGCAGGGTTTCTCATGTTTTTATTGGTGCATCGGATCGGACGTCGTAACATGATAGCACAGCCTCCGTGATCTTGTTCCTCTGTGGTCCCTGATGATCTATGGAAGGCTAAGCCGACCAAGCCGTGAAAATCCATGACTACCAATCATCTATCCCACTATATTGCCCTCTGTAATCTTTCCAGTGTGTCCCAACGACTGCTGACCATATAAACCACAAGCCCTGCAAAGGCTCAAGCAAAGCCTATCCCAGGCCACAGCTACCCTCACTTCCGAAGCGAAGTTTCTGGGAGGCTGCTTCCCCGCTTTTCTGGATGTTGGGCTTAGGTTTCGGGTTTCGGAGCTTGGCGGTTTTCCGGGTTGGCTGGCGATTCTTGGTTTGTTTTTGAGGCTTTTGAAGGGTTTGGGGGTCCAGTACAAGCTAAGGGTGCCGGCGCTTGGTCGCTTCGAGTGTCAGCGATCCCGCAATGGAGTCCACAGTAAAGTAAAGGCTCCATCAAATGTGCGCTAGATTTTGAGGTTCATTTAGAAGGACATAACGAAACCTAAACCCCGAACCCGAAAGCCTCCTGCACCCTCACCCTCAAACACCCTGCTGGGAGCTGTTGAAGCCGCTCGGGTTCCCGGAGGTGCCTTCCTTTGACGCACATTCATCGCCGGTGCGCGGAGCACACTCAGAGGCGCAGCTTGGGTTCAGGCTGAATGAGTTTTCGGGTTCCCTGTGCTTTTGGGTTCAAGGGTGGTTTAGCTTGAGGGTTTTGTGTGCAGAGCTTTAGGCTGGTAGGCTTAATTCATGCACTCTTCTGCTCTTTGTTTCAGCCGGACTCTTTTATGTCCGCGGTTGGTGGAAGCACAGGGTGCAGCAGTTGAGCCGCAACTCCACGCATCCCAGAAGCTTTCGCCGCAAGGCCCTAAACCGAGAGCCGTAATCCGAAACGGCCTCAGCCCTTGTGGATCCTTTTTAGTAGCACTTCGTGAGTTTCGAAAGCAGGTTGCTCCATCATTGTCTCCACCGAAGCGGCCACCGAGGCTGGCAGCTCCGGAATCTTCCGACCTTCACGAAGCCGTAAGAGTGATTTACTATGTCGGGGGTTCCTGATTACATGATAGTAGTAGAATGCCCCCGAAAACCTAGTCTAACCATTAGAACTCCCATATTACCGTCTTAGTAGTTGCTTCTGGAGTACATGTGATACAATTCGTTGGGTTGGGAGCATAAGCCGAGTATCGAGATAGCACAGGTTGTAGTCTTCTCTGGCAATTTCGGAGAGATTTTTGATGTGCCCTCAGTACTTCACTGGCCACTCCAGAAAGAACCTCAAAGTCTCCCTACAGCTTGACGGTACCCTACAAGCGCCGAAGCCAACTACAGGTATAGGGTTTTAGATTGCCGAGCTAAGGCTACTATAAGCCCGAAGCAGCTTACGACTTAGGGTTTCCGGGTTTCGGGCTCTATGAGCCCTAGGCCGTAAACCCTAATCCCTAAACCCTAAACTATAATCCCGAAAGCCTAATCCCCAAACACCTAAACCCTAATCCCTCCAAAGCCCTAAACCCTAAATCCTTGAAGCCCTCCAGACCCTTAACGCCTACAGGGGAGTTTCCGAAAATCAAAAATAGGGGACCCTAATATAGTACCCGAAATAGTAGGATCCTGATTATAAGGACCCCAAGATATGATACCTTAATTTTCGGAAACTTCCACATCCTGAGCTTTCGCAGGGCAGAGTCGGTCGACTCCTGGCAGCCTCCGCTGGCGCGCCGGGAGGCGGAAGGGCTCTGCGAGCGAGGGTGGAAGGAGCTTTCAGGGTTTAGGGGTATTTAGGGTTTAGGGGTCAGGGGTATAGGGGTTTCGGGGTTTAGGCTTTAGAGGTTAGGGGTACAGGGGTTAGGGATTTAGGGGTGGGGTTTAGGGTAGTTTACGGTTTCGGGTTTTGGGCAGAGAGAGATCTTGGGAGGGTTTGGGCTTTTGGCTTTGAGGCTTAGGGTTAAGGGCCTACCTGGACCCTAAAGAACCTACCTTTTTAGGGTTCCTTCTTATGAACCTACCTTTTTAGGGTTCCTTATTATGATTTCCTTATATGAAGTCCTTAAAAAGGTAGGTTATTCCGGGTTCAGGTAGGGCTGTGGGTTCATATACGTGGGGGCTTTGGGCTGAAGATTCGGGAGTGAAGCCCATGAGATTTTCGTTTTTGCGTCAGGGTTTGGGTTCAGGTGTTTGCGTATGCGGTATTTGGTCACGATTGAGTTTCTTCGAGTTTGGGACCATGCTTTTGGGCCTTAAATGTGTGCTGTTGCGCCTACTAAGTTCTTGGAGCAACGTCAGACAAAAGCCCGGCAACAACCGCTCCTGTGGCTCTGTGAATGAAGCCTTCCAGGAACTCTTAAACAGCCCAAACCCCAAACCCTAAACCCGAAGCCCGAAGCCCTAAGCCCGAAGCATCCCTAAGCATTCTTAAACCGGCTTGGTTCGGATTTTCAACTATTCGGGGAGAGGCCTCGTTCTCTGAACCACCACGCCGGGAGCCGCGCCGAAGGCCCCAAATGCGAATCGCTTCGGGTTCGGGGTTTAGGGTCTAGGGTTTTTAGCTGGTACTTTGGGTTTGTCTGGTTCTTTGTTCAGGGTGTTATGACATGTTAAGATGCTTGTAATTATAGAGTTTCAGAGGGATAATAGGTTTAGAGGGGTTTGGACTTGCGCTTTGAGCGTGGCAATATTGAGTTGATATTCGGACGTATCTCGCTTTCGATTGTTCCAGGTCTTTTTTCCGTACGTCGCCATGGGGGAGGGAAGTGCTTGAGCAAGGAGCCAACGGCAATCAAGACGGTTACAGTACGTGCTTCAGGGTGGCCGTTTGTTCGGATTCACGACACACAGATAAAATGCCCGTAACAGCTAAAGTCCAAATAGTGAGCGCTGAGCTTTACACTGGGATAGGCCCGAGGCTTCTTTAGCCCTACAGGCGACCCGCCAAAGTCTGAAGCCCTACTTGGAGGGTCATGGGACTTAGTAAGTAGGGTTGTAAGTACCATAATTGGGGCTATAAGTAATTATAAGTATGGTTACCTTAATTATATAACCCTAGTTACTAAGTCCCATGAGCCTTTAAGCAAACTCCAAGTCTTGCCCCGGAAGCAAGAGCCTCACCAGATCCAGCGCGGCCCTCATTGACATCGATGCGGAGTGGCGCGCATGGGAGGCGAAGATGAACAAGGCTCGCTTTGAGGCTTAAAGGCTTTTGGTAGGGTGATGTCGAAGACTCGGCCAGGTTCACCAAAAAGCAAACACCAAGCCATGAACATGGGTTGATTTGCAGGTTTTGCGAACGTTGGCTGTTGGTTTAAGAAATATTTCAACTCGAAGTCTATTCAGCATGGTTGGAACGTGTTTAGTTCTTTGCAGAGTTGTTGCGATCCAACGTTTTCGCACAGTCTCCTCAACCTCTTGCGCAACCAGTGGCAAAACCCTCACAAAAGTCCGGATGCGCCAATCCTGCACACAGTTTGTCAGCAGTAGGAGCTTGCTTTGTGGCTGACTGTTTGGTTCGGCTGCCTCCCGCATTTTGATTTTATCAGACCATCTTAAGGCGAATTTCGAGTTGTTCCACGTGTAAGTGCCTGCAAGCCTGATTCCTCTGATGTTGGTCTTGATAGTGAGGGTGGTAGTGTCAGCAGTAGCACAACAACAGCATCCACTATGTCAAGGTCATCGAAGATAGGTTTTCCAATATTATTCTTCCAGTAGAGCTCTCTAGTACAATTAGACTATAATGATATTCTAATTATTAAGGACCCTTTATTATAGTACCCTTGTAGATCCGTTATCGACCCCCCTTCAAAGGGACCCCCTTATTCTACATAAGTATTAAGGCCCCTAGGCTGGCTAACGTCTCGCCCAGCTCCGCAGCCCTTGTTGTCCCGCGGTGCCCTCGTAGGCGCACCCGGTCTCAGAGATGCAAGGCCATGGGTGCCATTTTGGTTTTGGGGGGACACGGGGAAAATAGGGGCCTCAATAATTACCTGTACTGGTTTTGGGGGGTTCCTTCTTATAACTGCAGTATAATGGCCCCAAAACCCTATTCTAATTTCTGACGGCCCCTATATGAAATGCGTTTTGGCGGTTTTAGGTCTTTCTTGCATCCTGGATGAGGTGTTGGGTCCGTGTGTCTGTCTGGCGTAGTAATGGGGAGTTGTGACGTTGTCTGTGGTACAGAGCTTGGTGATGGTGGGCGAGCATGATGCAGAATCGAGCTAGACCTGCAACTACGACCTGCAAGTGTCACCATTTGTTTTGAATGTCGAGGCCATCGTCGTGTCGATAGTTTTCTTGTGTTCCTATTGTCTTGTCGCAACTGCAGCCGTCCATCATGCTTCCTACCCATGGCCTTTGCTATCGCGAATACATGGAAAACATCATGGCACAACAAGCTTTGAGTGCAGCTGTCTTGCAAATTGCCAACCAACCAGCTCGGACGCAAGCTCGCACCGGAGCTCATCCTTCAATGGCATGGTGATCGATATGCGTAAAGGCAGTAGAAGCTGTTCGCTGCGCTGTTTCCCCCATCTAACTCATGCCGTGTCACGGCCTTGGCGCATGTGACCGGTGCGAGGTCCCAAGGTCCTGCTGGCGTTTTGGATTGCTACGACAGAGCCTTACTCAACCCGGCACCCGCTTGCATACTGCATGAAGGCCACATTACTGGAGTCAGTTTGCCCGGCGGCCACGCAAGCATGCACGGAGTGCATCGAACGTGCATCAGTCGCGTCTTGTCCCGGGGCACAAAAATGGAGGGGAAAACATAACAACAATTCAACCGAACTCTCAACTTTGTGCCTCCCTGGAACCAACCCAACAATCCCTAATCCCTAAATCCGATGCAAATCTTAGACATTACATCCTTACAATACATCTCGTAATCTCATGCTCCGAATCCGAAGCCCTGAAGCCCAAACCGTAAACCATAAACCTTCAACCGAAACCCTAGGCCCTAAACTCTAAACCCTAAACCCTAGACCCTAAACCCTAGACCCTAAACCCTAAACCCTAAACCCTAAACTCTAAACCCTAAACCGAGTCTCACACCCATCCTTGCAGGCCGGGTTACGGTCGGGTCTGACACCGGCTCTGCGCCGCGGGAGGCATCGAGAGCGCAGGCGGAGGGAGTTGAGGTTTGGGGTTGCAGAGAGAGAGAGAGAGAGAGAGAGAGAGAGAGAGAGAGAAAAAAGAGACAGAGAGAGAGAGAGAGAGAGAGAGAGAGAGAGAGAGAGAGAGAGAGAGAGAGAGAGAGAGAAAGAAAGAGAGTTTTCAAGAGAGAAACAGAGAAAAAGAGAGAAGAGGAGAGATGCTGAACAAAAACATAAGAAAAGACAGACAAAGAAGTTGATTGACGAATATGTTGGCTTTTTGTGCTAAGCCGCTCCTCAACGTGTTATTCGTCCACGCATGCGAAAGCTCCCGTGCAGAACCCCCGGATGCTCTGGACAGGTTCCGGCAGAGAAGCCGAACCAAGAAAAGTCAGGCAATCGGGCCTTTACCCAGACTGCCGGATTCAAACCCTTCGGGCCCTAGGGCTTAGTTCGGGTTCGGGCGAGGTCCCGTTCCCGTTCGAGTGTTATAAGGCTTACTGTTGGCCAGGCCAGGGTTTCCGGGGATCTGCCTTGTTGAAGAGTTCCTGCAGGCAAGTCTGCATGGGTGCATGCAGGAGAGATTTCGACTCAGGACCTTCGGTTCCTCGAAGAACAAGAAACTTAATATTTACGGTTACTATCATTGCACTGCTGGCAACAAGATTCTGGTTTGAGCTCTTCTTGTATTTCGTCCACTAGTGCTGCTCGTGATGGTTATCATCGTCATCATCTCCAGCTTTTTCGTCAGCAGTATCAGTATCTAAAGCACAGCGTCAATCTTTCAGTCGAATCCATAACCCTGCACCCGAACCCCTGGCGTCTCAACTCCGTAGCCAAAAACCCTGAGCCACGACTTGAGCCTTAAACTCTAGGTCTCCATGGTCCTGGTTCATGTCAGGTTTCTTCACATAAGGCTTCAGAGGCACCTTTCGCCTGGCGGGCTTCGGGTAAGTCTCTGCACTGAAGATGCAAGCTTGTTTCGCCGGGGATTTGGACAACCTGCGCCCACCTTGGAGGGATCTTTCGTGTCTCGGGCTACTGACTTGCCGTCCGGCTCCTTGGGCCCACAGCCGTGCTCTGATCAAATCTACCGGCCTTGTTCGGCCCACAGGGGCCCACCAGCCGCAAGCCACCATAAACTCTCATGGGTCGAGTGAGTAGACCACGATGCCCTTAACCGTCCGGAAACTTGGCAGATCCGATTGTCGTGCGAGCGGCAAGAGGCCGCAGGTCATGGCGGCAAAGTTGACGAAGACTCAACTTCAGTAGTCGTAGTAGTTTAGCAGCAGTTCTTGAAAAGAGAGGAGTGCAACATCAGAACTGCAACAGCCGGAACGGGAAAGAAAACTAGCCAGCATGCACAAGCAGTCACCTCAGCCCCACCCGTCCCAAAGCCCATCATCCCATGGCACTTCACTTCCCTCGGCCGCAGCCGCAGCTAGCTTCTGCACTTCTTGCCACCATCCCTGGCATTCCTGCGGTGATGGAGGAGTCTTGCAGATTCAGTCTCCGGTCTGCAAAGCGTTTACAGGTGTAGAGCTATCATGAGTAGTCAGCACAAAGATGCCAAAATCGATCCGGAGAAGGACCTGCATCCTACGCTGCCCCAGTACCCACACTAACCCTCCTAGCAGCCCTAAGCCCTGCAAACGGGTAGTTACGGGTAGTTCTCGAAATTAGGGTTCCTTTCCTTCTTGTAAGGGTGCCGTACTGTTTTAGGGACCTAGTATAAGGGACCCTAATGTAGAGAAGTACCCATATAGTACCCTTATAGGGACCTTATAGAAACCCTTATAGATCCCTTTAAGGGACCTGAATTTACAGAACTACGTAACCCTAAAGCCCCAAAACCCGAGACCCTGAACCCTAAACCCCAAGCCCCTAAACCCTAAGCCCAACGCCCTAAACCCTAAGCCCTAAGACCCTAAGCCTACAACCCGCAAAGGCTGCCTGGGCTGCACGGCGAAAGGCGGCCGGCGACACGAGGAGGAGGCCGTCGTCGAGCACGTGAACCAACTGTTGGAGGCGCGAAGAAGCCGAAGAGAAGCAGTCACCAAATAGCATGTCAAAAGTATACTTTAGCATATGATGGTAGTATCTTGCAGTATATTACAGTACATCATAGTAGATTAGAATATACTTTAGTTAGAGGGTTGGCATTCACGGTTTTGGGTTTCGTATGTCCAACTGGGACTCCGAAGTTAAGCCCAGAACCCTGCACTGCACCGTGCACCTAAACCCTAAAGTTTAGGGCTTAGGGCCCAAACCCTAAACCCTAAACGGTGAGCCCCCAATGTCCTAAGGCTCCCGAACCTGAAGCCGTGTGATATGTAAGCTTCGGTGGTTGCCAACACTTTGCTCTAGGGTCCCTAGGATTCCTCCATTAATCATCAATAAGATAGTATATCATAGTATATTGTGGCATACGATGGTAAATTACAGCATATTCTAGCATGTTTGATATATGATAAGTACATTACCCAAATCGAGCTCTGAGCCCCCACTCTGACATTCATAGGAGGCCAAAGGGGGTTTTAGCCTATGGGGGTTTAGTTGGGATTAGGGTTCCCATAATGGGGTTCATATCAAGGAATCCCTACCCCAAGAATCTTAACCCCCCCTTTTGGCCTCCCACTCTTACATTGTGTCTCAAGGCTGTGCTGGCCCTTCGCCGCAGCGTGCGGCGCTTGGAGCTGGTCAGCGAGGCGACGTCGCAGTCATTCTGGTAGTTTGTGCTAATTGGGAGTTTCCGAAATTAGGGGACCCAAATAAAGTACCCGAAATAGTAGGATCCTTGTAATAAGGACCCCTCTCTGAAGTACCCCTCATTTTCGGAAACTCCCAATTCCTGCAATGCCGGACTTTGCATGTTGTCCATATGTCCGGGTTGGAGCTCTGTGGTTATCACGAGGCTGACAGGGCTGAAGGAACCAAGTGGATTGCAGCAGTAGCAAAAAGCGTAGGGGTCACAGTGTCACAACAGGAACAAGACCTCATCACCATCATGATTTTCCTCCTCCGCCTCCTCCTACACCCGATCCTCGTCATCCTCATACTTAGGCGTCCCCATGCTCCTCTTCGCAGAAATCTTTACGATGCTCATCCTGATGTTAGGACCCATGTGCTGCCATAATCCGAAGCCCTGAACTAGCGATCTGCCGGACACAGGGCATCGAGTGCCAGAAGCGCCCTCCCAGCCACTCCGACAATACTTTTTCAGCACTTTTTGTTTGTTTCTCGGATTTGGGGAGACGCTTGGCTTTCGGGTTTAGGGATCTTGAAAGGGCTCGTGATTCTGACTGTTCCCAGTGTGAGACAAGCCCATGAAGGAGCGAAACTCCCAACAAGGCTGAACATAAAGAGTAAGTAATCGCCGACACCAGATATCAACAGTGAGATGGGTAGTAACAACATTCATGACATCCGAATATTCACCCTCAAGCCGGCCAAGTTCAATGCCGTAAGTTCGAGGCACACATTCCGAGTCCTCGAAGAATGGAGGGCCTCCTAGAAACTCACGGCCTTTGTGCAACTGTTTTCTTCCTTTGAAGAGCAGCTTGAGGATTGGAGGAGACGCCAAACGATCTTCCGTGGCACCTTCCGCCTCTGCAGCTTGGTGTAACATGCATATGACTCTTGGAGGAGTTACTCTTGTCACTTGTTGGGGTCATCGTCTTGTTGCATTTGTTTTACTGCTGGTAGGTCCTTCTACACCGGACTTACTGAAAGTGCGGCTTATTGTTTAACATCGAGCTTCGGCCTGAAACGTTTTTGGCGTAACAGCTCCTCTAGAAGCCCTTTGCAGCCCTTTAACTACAGATAGCCTGCTTCGCAGCTGCACTTCTGATGTTCTGCCTTGTCGCCCCTGACTCGAGATCAACTCCATGATGAGCCACGATCGTTGGAACACTGAGGCCTCCCGTCAAGGACGAACTTCCACCGCCACAAGAGCCGGCCCCTGCCCCTGCGGCAGTTGAGCAACTTTTGCCCGCCAGTCCTTCTTTGCCTCCAGCGCCAGCGGCCCCGGGCAACCCGGAGCCAGCAGGCCATGAAGCGGAGGCGGACCCACCAGCGGCGCAGCCGGCAGAGCCGCAGCCAGAGCCCTCAGAGTCTCCGAAGGTGGAGATCGAAGTGCCGAAAGCTGCCTGGGAGGAGCCGATACAAATTCGAGTGGAACCTCCCGAGACGGAGGTGCCTCGACAGCTTCCCCAGGGCCCAAAGCCCATGTGGCAAGAGATGATGGAGTCGCAAGATCCGCCAATGCCGCCCCCCCTGCAACCGCCTGCACAGCAGCCTGCGGAACCAGTGCAACTGCCTCCCATCCGGTCGGCGACAGGCGGACTGAAAGTGGTAGCTGCGTAGCTTGTGCCTTATTGCGGCAGTATGACGGGTGTGGCGAAGAATCACGTTGCATAGGCAAAACCTCCACGAAGCGCGAGTGTTTACTATCATCCCCCGAACCCTTCAATTGGTCATCATGCAAAGCCTCAACAAGTCTTCACTGAGCGCACCGTAGAGCGGAGGGCGAAGCTTAGCTGTGTAGCCTATCTCCGCCGCAGGGGGTGGAGCTGCGCCTGCAGAGCAGGGGGTCATCTCTGACACTGGACAAATGGTCACGTGGCTGGTGTTGGATACGCATGGAGAACTTAGCAAAGTAGCAGTCGTCGTTGTGGTGGTGACCAATTGTCATCATTCATCACCAATATCTTCCTCCTCCTCGTCATTCTCATCCTCAGCATCAGCATCATCATCATTAGCCGTCATAAGTATCATCATCATTATCATCATCATCATCATCATCATCATCAGCATCACCATCAATTTCATCACCATCATCATGATCATCATCATCAACATCGTCATCATCATCATCATCATCATCATCATCATCATCATCATCATCATCGGCACGCTAACCTGCCCAACGGGGGACGATGCATGGACGGCTTTCGCCGCGGCCACTCATCACTAACCTTAAACTTTGCAAAGCATGCGTGTGCTCGACTACTTGTGTTGTGCCGATCGGCTTGTCCTCAATCTAAGCGTTTAGGGTTTAGGGCAGGTTTAGGGTATACACAAATGCTCACCACAGCCGCGACCCAGGACCTGCTACGTCTCTTGCAGGGCACTCAAGAGGAGGCCGGACTGGGTACGAAACTAGCATCGGGGCCTAATAATTAGAATGGTCTTGGGGCCCATTATAGTTACTATAATGGGCCCCAAGACCCTATCCTAATGGCCATGGGGCCTAATATAGGGGTCGGGATAATTCGTCATACTCCTTTCTTGTATACAGTCTCCATAGTTGTAGGTATAGTTTCATCCACACCCGAAGCCTTAGTTCAACTATTCAGGCCCCGATAGCCTATCACAACCCCAACAAGCGAGGCTG